ATAAGTTCTGTATAATTTAGGGAAAGTAACTGGCTAAAAATATTAGCAATTTAAATATCCACAACCCTTTACCACAAACCCAAGAGCTGTGTAAGTCACATTTTGTGCAATTATCTCTTCACACTTAAGTGTTCAAATAAATGTGTATGTGTATTCTACAGGCAGCAAGAACAAAATACTAGGCCTGTGCTAGAGATAAGCTGATACTAAAATGACTTGGATATTTGCACTTTTCAATGTATATTTTTTTAACTTTCAAAATGGAAAAGAAAATCTGACTTTCAACAAATATATGTATTATTTGGTATATATGTTTACCGCCATATTTTGTAAAAACTGAACTTGAAAAAATATACTATTCATATTAGTTTTTTTTCCTTAACTGCCTCTTTTATGTTAGGCCTTTTCTCAGTCCCTGATCTGTACCATACCACTTATAGTTTTACAGTTTATCTGGAGAAAGACCTCTTTCACTTGAGATGTACTATTTATTATAAATGCTATGTAGTGTAGAACTTGTCATTATAACAAAATATCAATCTTGACATGACATAGACCCACCTTTTTCTGCAGACAGTTTGCTGACGTCCATAGTTTTGTTGAGGACTTTGACGGCCAGGGCCAGAGCAGAGGACAGAGTCATCTCTCCCTCTTTGTAGTCCTGTTTCAGCATGGATACTGCCGCCTGCAAAAGTAACACTTATAAGGAACTTAAGATACTACAGTTTACCAAAATAATAATTTTGTTTCTTAATCCTGTGTCTTACCGCGCTGTTGTTGCCGATGCACGTTGCCTTCCAGCCTCCATAGTTGCCGCTGGGGTCGCTCTGGTATAACTGGAAACCATAGTGCTTGTCCCAGCCCATGTACAGCAGAGAAACACCAAAGGGCCTTTTACCTGTCGTAACAAATAGAGTTTATTTCACTACAACATAAACCAACACAACTATGACGCTGATTATGCCTCTGACTGAACGCATTACCTCCAAACTGTGTGTAGGCCTGTTTGATGTCGCACAGAGCCGTGACCAGCTGCTCACAGGGGATAGGCTCCTGGTACTGCAGCAAATATCTGGGAACAAAACAAATAAATGTTTTGAAGTTCGTACAAAGAATGGGCAAAATGGGAAAAGAACAGCTGAATAAACTAGGGATGGGCAATGTGGCGAAAAATTAATATCAAGATTCTCTGGGAGTCAATTCTATGCGAATTTTGCGTCTGTCATATTGTGATTCACCATCTCCTTTTGAGCTCTAACAGAAATAGTGAAATCACAATTTTTATCACTATATTGCCCAGTCCTACTATGAAGAAATGTACATTGTTGTTGCTTTATAGAAACATTCCTCTGACATTACCTCTGTGCAATAAGACGCAGCTCATTCGTGAGGACGTTGGCGTCAGATGTGATTCCAGCTACACTGCAAGCCATGTCCCTGAAGATCACAACACACAGGGGAATCAATGTTAGAAGCACTTTTTTGGAATGATGAACAGTTTCCTCTAAAGAACATGCCACTCACTCGTTGAGTTTGTAGATTTTCTCTGAGAAGAACACCTCATCCAGGAGTTTGTGGATGTTGCGTCTCTCTGCTGCCAACAGGACTCCATCATTTGCCAGAATCCCCAAACATGTGCCTGCGTGTCCAATGGCCTCCATAGCATACTCCACCTGATAGAGTCGCCCTGTGGGACAGTTATAGTTTATTATAACTTTCTTTTGAAATGGGCGAGTGAATGGGAATGAATGGATTTTGTATGTAAAAACAAACAAACAAACAAAAAGTAAACTTAAATAAATAGAAACTGAAAGTGATCAAAACACTTACCTTCAGGTGAAAATATCGTTGTTCTGGAATCATATCTTCGAGACTAACAGAAAAAATATGATAAGCATTTTAACAAAGACTAATTAAGTAAAAAAGAAATAAACAAAAAGCACTTTACCATTTTTCTGCAGCACCTGGTCCGTCCTGTAGGATAAAAACATTTGCTGTCAGTCACCGGTATCAACAATCTAACGTTTTAACCAGCTCATATTAATATTCATAACCCCTATTCACCTTATCTTGCCTTATATTTTAAAGGAGTGCATATATTGTAGAAAACTTTGCCCATGTTAGAGTAGAGAGAGCTGGAGCGAGCCGCAGCCCCACAGAATGAATCTGCATTATCAGGGCAAGGAGCTAGCTACGGCGATAGCATGGCATCTAAAATAGCATCAAAAGACAACATATCTCGACGTAACAGTGCTAAACCAATGTACGGGTTTCAAACAATTATATCACGTAATTTTATTCTTAATAGAAGCAAATGATGAGTACAGTACCTGTTTAAAAGAGCAGAATTAGCCTAGCGTCCTCTCACAGAGCGGAGCCACTTTCAGTTTACAGTTTCCTCGTGTGACCGGGGTTTGTGTGTATGTGAAGTACAAGCTCAGCAGCGCCACCCTCAGGCTGGTGGTGGTGGTGCACTAAAGATGCACTGTGTTCTTGTAATCAATAGACGGTCTGTGCTAATACGCCAAATATTGTATAAAACTTGAAATTGTGAAATAAAGTAGGCTGATATCCAAAAACGGACATGAGGTTTGATTTTAAATCTGTAGCTCTATATAAGATGTAAATATGTTATGAGGGAACTATAGTTACACAGACTTTATTGATCCAAAGGGAAATTACTTGGACACAGTAGCTCACACATCACATTATATTACATCAAAAAGGGTAAAAAATATACAAAATTGTAATAAACGTCTAAATAATTAGCATAAATAAATAGAAAAAGACTGGTATAAATAAGATATAAATGATGTATGTACAGTAAGTAAAAACCAAATATCATAATATAAATGCAGTACCTGAGCTGAAAGGCAAAGCTCTTGCTTTACTGCTCAGTCAAAATGAGTTTCCTCCACAGGGTGGGTGAGCTCTCCCTTAAAGAGCCTGTGCTCCTCCATGTGGAGAGGAGCCAGTTGGAGGGAGGGCATCTGTTCCAGGCATGTCCCACTGACAGGAGGCCCCGAGGAAAACCCAGGACACGCTGGAGGGACTATGTCTCTTGGCTGGCCTAAGAACACCTTGGAGTTCACACAAAAGAGCTGGAGGAAGTGTTCGGGCTGAAGGAAGTCTGAAAATTATGGAAGCCCTGAATAGCAAGTATACATATAAAAAAAAACACACACACACATGTGTAATTTTTTTGTTTTGTTTTTGTTTTTCTGAGACATAATCTAGTTATTTTGTACAGACTTTAAAAACACAATGGAGCACTTTGTGTATTACCACATGGCATAGCAAGGTGGAACAGTGTTTTCAGCTTGAGAAAACAAATATGCAGTATTTGTGTGTTAAACATATGTGAATGAAACAAAACACAACTCCAGGTAGGCTTTTCATGAAGAAAGATTTTAACAGATCAGAAAATACCATAATACAGGCCCTATAAATAACTCAAGAAACACAGATGTTTAAATGATTTAGTATTATCAACATAAAGGTTTTTTTGTCACTTGTACATTTAACTCACAGTGGGACAAGAACCCAAAATCTTTACACAAGTGAGAGTACTGTCACTTCAATAAAATATCAAAAGTATGTGTATTCTAAAAAGTACAATTTCTTTAAAAAAAAGTTACTCAAGAAATGTAATTGAACATTCTGAATTCAGGTGATCATAGATGTTTTATTGCTGAGAAATAAACACATAGCACGCATTCTTACTGTTAGTGGGATCACCTCTCCATAGACTTGACTTGTAACCCCACCAGTCAATAGTGGTGTCACCTGCTTTTTTAACTGACACTAAATGCCATACTGCGTAACATTCCAGAAAAAACAATATTATCTTCAATAACACCGTCATAAATGGTGACGCATTTGACCCTCCACCTGAAAAGTGACATAGTAAATCTTTAAGACAAACAACCAACAAATAATGAATCACTGTGTGCTCAAAATCCTTGTCCTTGAGTGTGGAATCTGTTTAGTATCCAGCTATCCAACTTCATAACAACTGTGTAATAACTGTGTAAAAGTCTTGTCCTGTAGACCTACAGTATATATGAACTCTAAACTGTAAAATGTTGGGATGGTTGGTATAAATAAAGTAATGAAAAGAGCGTGTAACATTGTAGATTCTTGTGTCAGTCATACTCTGAGGACCTTCTGATGCTGCATTTTTTTGCTTTATGGTCATTCACAAACACAGTTTTCCGTATTTTAGTGAAACAAATGACAATTTATGCTTCTCCTAACTGTTGGTGGGGATTAAATTAGTCAAAAATTGTGATAGCTCTGTTTTAATCCTGGTTTAGACCTGATGCAGTCCTCATTTAATCTTAGTTTATCTTGGTTTAGAGCTGGTTTAGATCAAACTGGTCAGAAATGGAGACACTTGGGACATTTCTCTTATAAAACTGTGACAAATCACTGATTTTGTATACATCTGATGGGACAGGGTATTAAGGTGACCAGAATTTCAAAATAAATATCTGGGACATCCTCGTTTTGTTTTGTTTTGTTCTTTGTTTGCTTGTTTTTTGGTGGTTGGTAATAATAAAACTGTGAAACAACTGCGTCATTAAGGAACATTTTTCTGCAGAGACCCTTCATGACTAACATGTGAGTCAGTATACATACATTTTTTTCTGTTTTGGTCTTCTTTTTTTTTAGCAGATTTTTTGTATTTTACCAAAACAAATTACAATTTATGCTTCTCTTTACTGTTGGTGGGGATCAAACTGGTCATTTTTTGTATAAAACTGGGACAAATCACTGGTTTTGAATACATCTGCCAGGACAGGGGACACAGGGCTCAAAACTGGGACTGTCCCCGGTAAACAGGGACGTCTGGTCAGCCTTGTAATATCATCAGTCTCAGAAAACACAACTTGTTTAACTTGTGTCAAACTAAATAAACAGGGGTGCGTTTTTCATTTGTACACCGGAAGCAGAAGGTGCGTCGCGGCCTCTGATTGGCTCACAGTGGAGCATGGCATTTGAATGAGAGGGGCTCGGCTCTTGTAGCTGACATTAGCATTTTAGCTCAGAAAGAGCGCAGATCTTTTTTAGTAGTTATAATCCTACAGTTTGATGATGGATTATTAAACCCTGGATACGTTGCTCGCAGACTTACAAAATGACATGATTGTAAAATAATCAACAGCGTGTAAAAGGTAAGATAAGACGTGGCTAACCCTAATGTCAATGCTAACCCACCGGTAAATATAAAATAATCATTAATATCATAAAAATACTTCGGTCGCTATATTGGTGTGTGTTTAACCCTTTGATTCACTATTTTAACTTCGTGTTTTGTTTTTTTATTAATATAGAGCACGCAAAGTGTGATTAAAGCACCTTATAGGTTATGAGAGTCAAATGGACAGTTTCAGCCACTGTAAAAATAATATCTTAAATACTTAAATAACGTAACTGAAACATGACACTGCTTGTATTTTTTGTCTTTTTGCCCTAACTATAACTACATATCTTTTGATAAGCTTAACGTGATGACCTTTCACTAATGACCTTTGATCCTTCAGGACAATAATATGTGACCAATACGGGCAAGGCACCTCAAAATCATAAAATCGACAACAATAACACAAACAACAATGGTCGTTTAACAATGCAATATAGAAATACTTCAGTAACTAGGAGAAACGCTCAATTTATGCCAGCTGAAGTTAGGAAACTAAAACATTCTCTTGTTTTATCTCATCATTTATTGTCTTATTGTGTGCTCTAGTGCTGCCAACAAAGACCTGGACAAACTGTAGATAGTTCAGAATCAAGGTGCAATACGAGCCCTCAGATGCCCTTTCAGAACTAGTGTTATTGTTATGAAGAAGAGACTGTCATGGAAGAAAGTCAAAGAGAGACTGACATGTAGTTTGGTTCTGTCCTTGCCCAAAGTCTGGCTGACACACAGACATCAGAGCCTCACAGCTACAGCCTACCTGGAACAGACACGGGTATAACACAAGACGAGCCTCCTACGCTCCCTTTACTTTGCCTAAACCAAGAACTAATGCACTGAAAAGACTTTTATATACAGGGCCATTTCTCCGTGGAATAAGGTGCCTCAAGAAATGACGCTGATACACAGTCATCTTGCTTTTAAAAAAAACATCTCAAGAAATCAATGCTAACCAAACTGTGATTACCTGATGTATGTATGTGTTTTCTGTTTATTCCCCTCATGACAGAAGTTGCTGTTATGTATTGATAATTATGTGATTTACTGTTAATGTATGGTCAGTGTATTTTTAATTTTATGATGAGAGTGGACCCCAGGAAGATTAGTCTGTACAATTGCAGAGAATAATGGGGATCGTTAAATCAACAAATAAACAAACAAACAAACAAAAATGTATGACCTGCAAAGATATTGTAGTGTTGTCATGATACTAAAATTTCTCTTTAACTCTAACTCTATTTGGATACAAAGGAATAGACCTGATGCTCAATACTGATTCCAAGATGATAGTAAAAAAAAAAATCTCTGTGGTTTTATGCTTGTTCTGATACAAAAACATTCTAAAGCTATTAATTTTTGTCCTGCGAAGGTCACTTTTTTAGTATTGATACTAATATATAAATATATTGAAATTAGTATCTAGTTCTGATACTTGTTTTAGTATCAGTCTGATTTTGCGAAACTTTTGACGACCTTAAGAGTTTGTTTTATATCCAATCCAATAAACACTCAGATTTAATCATCATACTAGTCTTAAAACAATAAAACCAGTCAAATGAAATAAGAGCAAAAAACACAAATTAGCAATAAATAAAACCAATAAAATAAATGTAAAAATAAATAAAAGACACAGAGGACCACGCAACTCAGGCGGTGTTAAAAGTGAGAGAATAAAAGTGGGTCTTAAGACGACACTTAAAACTCTCCACTGTGGGGGCTGTTGGGACGTGGTGGAGCAGAGTGTTCCAGAGTTTAGGGTCGGTCACAGAGAACGCCCCGTCCCCCTTGGTTTTAAGTCTGGTTTTAGGCACCACCAGCTGGAGCTCAACGTTCGCGCTGGGATGTAAATTTGGAGGAGGTCCATTCAAAGCTTTAAAAACAAACAATAAAATCTTAAAATCAATTCTGAAATTAACAAGAAGACAATGCAAAGACGCAAGAATTAGAATGCAGAGTTTTTGGACGAACTGTAGTCAAACTGTATTCGGAAAAGTACATTTTGTGAGATTCCAGAATAAAGTGTGTAACAGTAGTCCAATCGTGATGAAATAAAAGCGTGCACAATAAGTTTAAAAGATAAAATGAAAAGGTTTGACTTTGGATAACAGCCGCAAATGATAAAACGTTGATTTAAAACACCATTGATCTGTTTGTCAAATTTAAAGTCACTGTCTAAGGTGATGCCAAGGCTGGTGACTGTGGGACACACATATCTCCAAAGTGTTTGTAAATAGTGATAAAGTCATTGCGGTAATGATTTTGTGGTAAAGATTTCATGGCAGCTGTCCTGTTTTTCCAGATAAATATAAGAGTGGAGTATCTGTTTGATGTGCTTGTACTAGTAGTAGTATCAGCATTACTTGTATATTTATTTCTGATAGATGTTACTTATAGTTGTCATATAAGCGATTCTTCTGATGTTGCGTTTATTTGTGCATAGGTGGGGTTCCTCTGTGGCTCTGGTCGGTGATCAGGATGCAGCAGAAGAGGAACATTCAGATCATAGAATGGGAGGATCTGGACAAGAGGAAGTTTTACTCTTTTGGCGTCTTTATGACCATGACCATTCGCGCCGCCGTCTACCCCGCCACGCTCATCCGCACGCGCTTACAGGTAAACAGGATAACAACTTATATGATTTTCTTAATGACAAAGAAACAAAGTTTTAAGATAACCAGATAAAAATATACTTTTACATGTAATAATTTTTTTGAAGTATAGATTGAATGGACTAAATTACTTATTTTTGCTTCTAAAATTATCAAGTTTTAACACAGATATGGTGACTTCACTTATATTTTTTATGGTGTCATCATGACATTTTGTTTTGATATGGTGACTTCACATTGCATTTTTTATGGTGTCATCATGACTTTTTGTGTCTAATGGCTGTGGTTTGAGCACAAAATCAAGATTTCTGGATGATTAAGTACTGTATGTAATGTAATGTTACACACCCAGTAATGTTACACACCCAGTAGGGCTATTGTTGTCAAAAGAAGTTCGTTGACTTAAAGACATGCCCTATGTTTGTGAAAGGGCTGTAATGATGATGATGATGATGATGATGATGTAATAAATTTCTCATATTATATACTGTATATTATATAGTTTTCAATGGTACGATATTTATTTCAATATTTTGTGGAGGCTTACAAAATTGTGAATATACTACTTTTTCCTTTTAAAATGCCTTTGGTTATGCCACAATACAAACAATACAGACTTCTAAGTGCTTATAATAGTTATTTCTTCATGTTTTCAACACTGTCAAGGAGAAAAGAATCATGGGCAATGTAGTTCCCTGAGTTCCCTCTCTTTTTAATTTAGAAACACTTGTAATTCGATATATTGTGAGATTATATTATTGTGAGACTTTCAACAATACAATATCACAATATTTCAGTTATTGTTGCATCCTTAGTTTGTGATACTGGCAAAAGCTCTCAAAATGATTGAGATGTTGAGCAAAAACTATACAAGGAACTCATAAACAGCATATTCTTCTTCTGAAAAGGCAGATGAAACTGTCCAGTCACTTCCAAAACTCTGGTAAAGTCATTCCATATGTTCTACTTTCTGGTATTGCACAGATATAAATATGTTGAGTATTGGCTGAATTACTTTTGCTTCTAAAATTATTAAATCATATTATTTTTTCTTCTATTACCTATCTTACCTTTATCTCCAGGTGCAGAGGGGCCGTTCCCTGTACAATGGCACTTTTGATGCATTCGTGAAAATCGTGAGGAGGGAGGGAGTGCGGGGCTTGTACCGCGGCTTCATGGTCAACACTTTCACGCTGATCTCAGGTCAGGCGTACATCACGACCTACGAGGTGGTCCGCAAGTACGTCTCTCTGTACTCTGACGACAACACGCTCAAGTCTCTGGTGGCGGGCGGCTCGGCGTCTTTGGTGGCCCAGAGCATCACGGTGCCCATAGATGTGGTGTCGCAGCAGCTGATGATGCAGGGGCAGGGGGAGCACCTGTCGCGTTTTAAGGTCCCTGCCCCCCCGGACACTGAGAGGAGTAAGAGGGTCTTCGGCCAGACCAGGAACATTATGAGACAGATCTTTGTGGCGGATGGTCTGCGGGGGTTTTACAGGGGATATGTGGCGTCTTTACTCACCTACATCCCCAACAGTGCGGTGTGGTGGCCTTTTTACCATTTTTATGCCGGTAAGTGAATGTGACATTTTTTATTATTTGTAAAGGTCTATCATTTTTTATGTAAAGCAGGGCAGATTTGTAATGCAGGTGTTTTGACAGTGTTTATGGTTCATAATATGTCTCAAATGATTGTACCTATTCACATAAAGTAAAACTGACATGTTTCATATGTATCAACAGTAGGGGTGTAACAATATCCAAGTCTCACAATATGATATTGTCACGGTATGAACCTCATATTTATTGCGATATCTTGGGAAAACTCACAATATGGTGGGGAAGCTCACGATTAGAGATGTAACGATCTCCAAATCTCTCTGTACGATATTTTCACGATTATACATCTCACAGTACAGTATTTATTGCGATATTTTGTGGAGCAAACAGAACTGTTAATATGCTTCTTTTTCCTCTTAAAATGCCTTGAAAAGACTTAAAAGTGCTTAGAACTGTTATTTCTCCTTGTAGTCTGCACTGAATGGAGCAAAGGATCATGGTCTATGTAGTTCCCTCTGTCTTTTTTTAGCTACTGCTGCACCATAACTCTTAGTTTAAGCAAAGGGACTTGTAATTCAATATATTTTGATGGTCCACGATATTATTGTGAGATATCACGATATTTCGATTATTGTTACATCCTTGTTCAACAAAATAACTAGGTGTGACAAAAATTACTATTAATTATTTCCTTTTGCTCTCCATCTGAAATTATGTATTTATTCATGTTACGTACTATAACATAATGTTATATAATAATACCTGAATATATAATATATAATAAAGAATATATTTTTTAAAAATCTTATCTATCTTTGAAAACTATTTACCCACATGGATTTCTACAGAAATGCACTGTCATGACTGTTTATTGTTTTTTATGTAATATTGTGAGAGACTTATGCTGACAAAATGTATTTAGTTTGTGTAGATTAAGTATAACATACAGTATGTGTGCTGTTGTGTACAGAGCAGTTGTCTAGATTGGCGCCCTCTGACTGCCCTCACCTGCTGCTGCAGGCTGTGGCTGGACCTCTGGCTGCTGCCACTGCCTCCACCGTCACCAACCCCATGGATGTGGTCCGAGCGAGAGTACAGGTGATGACAAATGGAGATGCGTTTGTTTTAAATGCAATATTTTAACAGTTTTAATATGTTCTATAAGGTGACCTTTGAGGATTTTAAAATGTATTATTAGTTTTAAGAGGTAGGATTGGGTACTCTACTCTGTTAACAATATAAGGCTCACAATACAGGTACCTAACAATATTTATTTCCAACTGCTTTAATCATTATATTAAACCATAAACCAAAAAATAATAGACTTTAAAATTCAGCTTCCAGCCCTATCAGAAGGGAATAGGCTTAATAATGTGATTTGACAGTGCTTTGTGTTGTGTCTGTCGTTCAGGTTGAAGGCCGGAGCTCTGTGGTGGACACGTTCAAACAGCTGATCTCAGAGGAGGGTGTCTGGGGCCTGACTAAAGGACTGTCTGCTCGGATCCTCTCCTCTGCTCCCACAGCCATAGTCATGGTGGTGGGCTATGAGACCCTTAAGAAGCTGAGTCTGCGTCCGGAGCTGGTGGACTCCAGACACTGGTAACACACACGGGGGACCATATATGGACCACACACTGCTGTTTCACCACGCACTGAAACAGAACTGGAACAGGACTGGAACTGGGAACAAAGCCAAACTCCTACTGATTACCTCTGTACATGTGAGCTGTATTCTGAGATTCAACAGAGCTAAACAGTACTAGATTACCATCGGTTCTGGAAGTAAAAAAAAAACAACCAACATCACATTTCTAAAAGACCATTTTTCACCTTGTCTGATTAATATTTTTATAATAGGTTGGCTTTACGTGATCTAAACAGCCTATCCCTGGGATTACAGAATTATGAGATAAAATCTGTGCTGTGGCCTTTGCAATTTAAAAAAAAAAATTTAAGAAATTATCTTAAAAATGGCGTCAATAAATTGAAAAAAAAACATGTAAGTGAAACCCATGAATAGTTTAAAATGAAGGTGGAAACAAATTAACTAAATTTTTTTCACTATAGCTTCAAAATGTGATCTCATGATTGTTGTTGGTTGAAAGAACTTTATTTACTTTATTAAATTAATCTGTAACAAAAATGAAAAGGTTCAACATGGGCTTTCTGTTATATTTCCATTTTCTTAAGTTTTCTTAAGTTACATTAAAGTGATAATATGCAACTTTCTGGAGATCTGAAAGTCACGATTCCACGAAAATAGAAAATTAAAACCATACTTCAGAACAGTCATTATGAATATGGATATGTTTTATGCCATACTATGGATTATTATCGCCACGGGAAACGAGCAGGATAAGGCATGAGTCAGGTTTGTAGTAAGCATCAGTGCAATAAATTCGACCATAATGTAAAATTTGCTTTTACGTTGTTATATTTTATGATCACGTGTTGCACTGTAGCTTTTTTTAAATGAGCAAGATAAACAGTAAATTTTTATTCCAGAACTAGAAGTGCTTCTGTGCTCACCTTAAAGCTCCGTGTGTATGTGCATGTGCTGTGAAAACATTCTCCGACGGGGGCAGGGAGATACTGTTTTTGTGTTTGGATCATGTGGTGATCTGTTCCTCACCTGTGGATTTAAGATGCTCCTGCCTTCCATCTGAAATCTAAATATTATTAAATTATTATGAATGCAAATGACATTCTGCAAAATGTAAAAATAAAATGCTATATTATTTTGATAAACTAACACTGGACTGTCACCCTAGCATTTGTGACCAAGAATTTTAGTTAGATGGAGTGAAGATAAGTAACTTTTTTTGGAATTCTCAGTCTTATAAAATGTAAAGGGCATATTGATAGGTTTTCACGTTTTTCTAATTCTGACTGACTCATATTTAGCTTAGTTTTAAACCAGGTAAGTGGAAAAAACTTGAAGAAAAGGAAGTAGTGCTGAATTCATAAACAGAATCTCTCTACCATTGTCATCAACACAGAACATAGGCTCTATTCACGCTTACCTGAAGACGTTTGGAAACATGCGGATGACGACTTCTGGTGTAGTTCCACTGGGCATGTGATAAAACCAGGGATTCTGCAGCAGCGTCTTCACAACCTGCCAAAGCTTTTCATGGGGAACAGGACTTTAAACGTAGCTTCCATGTCACTTACAGGCAGCTGGTTTAGGGTGATCAAAACCTGGGACACCCCCGGTTTTGGGCCGTTGGTAATAATAAAATAGTAAAACGAGTGCGTAATTAAGGAAAACTGTTCTGCACTCGGCCCACTGATGGCTTACTGTATATGTGAGTCAGTATAGTCACATTTTCTTTGTGTTTTGGTCATTTTTAAGCAGCTTTTCTGTATTTTACCTAAACAAATGACAATGTATGCCTCTCTTTACTGTTGGCAAGGATCAGATTGGTCAAAAATAGGGATATCCTGGGATATTTCTTTATAAAACTGGGACAAATCAGAGGTTTTGTATAAATCTGCTGGGACAGGGGAGACAGAGTTGAAAACTGGCACTGTCCCGGGTAAATAGAGACATCTGGTCATCCTAAGTTGGTTGTAACTGTTGATCTGCCGAACATAAAGTAGAACGCTACAAAGACCTTTTTTTTTTCTTTTTAATTAAGTTGGACAAATTATAATCCACAAATGAATAGGCAGTTTATAAAAGAAAAAAAAAGAATACAATAACATCTAGATGAAGAAAACTGGGCCATTTTCTCAGTTCTCCCAGATTGGCTACCAGAGAGCCCGTCGGAAATCATCATCCGAATGTTTCCAAACGTGTCCTGGGTTTGTGACGTAAGCGTGAAGATCTTATTGTATCCAAAATACAAACACAATTTGTGATGGATTAAACATTGATTAAAAATACATTAATAATGTATAAACTTCACCATTAATGAAAACCAAAACCAAAACATATATTTAATTAAAAAAATCTACAAAATGGCAATTTCTTTAAAAATCTAATGATGTTCACTGTTTTGATGAAAAAATTACTCTAACCTGTCACATGCACTTTAAAAATACCAGAATAGTTCTACCACTATAATTATCACATAATATATGTTCAGATTTATTCTGTTTGGATCTTTTATGCATTGTCTTCACTAAAACAGGTTCTAAAGCGCTACAGAAGCCATATGTGAGGAAATAGCCCTCACTTCATAACTGCAGTTCACTCTTTTGACCACTAGATGGCTCTACAGAACGCACTTTAAGCAGTTTAGGGAGCTGCTGTCAGAAAGGGTCTATGTCATAAATTGAAAACTGGATAAATTATTAGAAGATTTTGTTTCTAGCATTTGTTGGAAAAGCATACAGCAAAACTCTTAAGTATATATGTGTTCTGAATAATTGTGTACATGTACTTTTTGAGTATTTAATTTGTACTTATATAAATTATTTTCTGCTGAAACTGTGACTGCTGTCCTCATTGTCCCAGACATGTAAACCACTGAACTATTGCGTTAAATTAAATCATTTTGTTTGTGATGCATAACTTTCTCATATTAATGCCATTATTTATTTATCAACCAAATAAGCCTCCATTTTGAAAGTCATTCATTGTCTTTTTTTTATTGTAATATTAGTGACAGTACAAACAATAAAAGACATTAGACATTTTGGCTTTCCTTTTTTTTTTTTCCATTCCTTGTCTTCTCGATGACTGTATTTCTTCTCTTGTATTCACCAAACAGCTCTGCTTTTTGTACTATATTGTATATTTACTTTGAGGTACATATTTATAGATGTCAGAGTGTTTCATTCTGACATTAAGCATTAGAATTGTTGCTCTTTCCACTAGTCTGTCATAAATCAGAACTTATTTTTGTTCAATTCAAACGTGTATCTGTTAGTCATGTTCACCTTAACCACACTGCCCTACAAAGGCACAACACCGTAACATCATGTTTGGTCAAAAACGAGTTCATGTCATTTTGTTTATCATGTGAATAAGTATCCTGAAAAATATTGTGCTCAAAATTGACCTTTGACCCTTATTTGTCAGTTCTTGTTCTCTGCCTTTGTATCATGAGCCAAAAATAAGTTTTCATGCAAACACAAAAGACAGAAACAGTGAATGTTTTGTTTGTGATTTAGTTCATAAAAATATTTTTATTTTAAAATCCAACCTCTCTCCTCCTCCTTTTTGTTGTGGTCTTGGCACAGGGTCTTAACACATTCAATAAATAAACCTTTGTATTCAACTACACTTCATTGATCTTTAAAGTAAAAGTATTGTGTGTATTTATTCATACTGTACACACTAAACTGCAAAGTCACTTTTGTGTCAAACTGTTTAAGTGTGTAAGTTTCGCCACACGATCCTGATCAGCACTAAACAGGAAATCCAAAACTCTTCTAGATCATTTCAAACAAACTCCATGATGACTCGAGCTTGGTAAGATGTTTTTTCATATAATGGATGGAAGTCTGGAGAAAATCAAACAAATAAAAATGATCATGGCAGTTTCTTTAGTCACAACTCCTTATTTTTGTCTCATGATGCAAAGGCACAGTACAGGAACTGACAAAGAAGAGTCAAAGGTCAATTTTGAGCTCAATATTTTTCACATACAAATATTTCTTTATTATAGCAACTACTGGTAGTTGTCAAATTTTGGGCGCTCTACCTATTACACTTTTGCCTGCACAAAATAGAAACTTCAAGTCATTTTTCTTTGCCTTTGTAGGGCAGTATGCTCTGTGTCATAGAGCTGTGGACATGTTTTTAAAAGCTTTATGCAAATGGAACATTCATAATAATAATCACATTATTCAGTAGAACATTGTCCTATTTAAAGATACATTCTACACAGTACTGAAAGGATACTACTGAGATATTTGAACATACTTTTGGACAAATCATTTCAGTTATGAAGAAACTAGAATGTGCATACTGAACTTGTCAAACTTTATAAATAATAAACAAACAAATAAATACAAAACATGGCCCCTAATATTTTGATATAGATACTTCATAACGTGGAAAACCTATATTCTGCATTAAATGAACAAATGGATCAGGTAGTATTTTGTAAACAGGAAAGTTCAGAAGAGAGTTAAGTTCTAGTCAGTCGTGTATTTGCTGTTATAATTCAGTGTAATAAATGGCCATTAAAAACCAATCAATCAATAAACCAATCATTATTTTTTTGTTTCTTTTTAGTTAGACTCACAGTACGTAAAAGATGGCAAATATAATTGCATACTTCTACTTTTTACTACATACTTCATTTTATAGGGTAAGACAAAGTGTGCCGGAATCCATAATAAATCTGTCATTGCTCCTGTCAACTCCTGTCAAAAGTCTGCAACAGTTTTACAATGAGAACTTCAAATTTTGCAGCTTGTTATGATCATATTTCCACTGTTCTGAAGTCTTAATGTTCACAGACTGTGCTGTCACTGGGGTTGTCATGAGACTAAGGCGCAGATTCGATACTCAATACTGATTCCGATACCACGATCATAAGAAAAAGACTTTATTTAAACCATAGAATGTGATTTTTGACATAGAATACTTTTTCTATTCTCCTATGACTTTTTTAGTATTGATACCTGCTCAAATGAGTATCTAGTTTGACTACAAGTGTCAGTATCGATTAGTATCTGATTTTCGATACTTTTCACAACCCTAATGTTTCAGTTTATGTTAATGTTAAATAAAACGTTTCACTTTTGCTTAGGCCCTATAGGGACTCGGGACTAGCACTTCAGCAAAATGGCAGGTTGGAGCGAATAAAACCTGAGACGTGTCATTGTGTTTAAGTGTCACAGCGGTGTTGACGTGCTGCCTGGAGTCTGCTGGGTTCATTACTTCACACTAGAATATTTTCGGCAGGGTGTTTAGCTTGTTTTTATGGAGCTCAGACAGGTCAGAAATGTACTGAGAATCCTGCTCTCACATTGTTCTCATGTTTTTCAGGTGCTGTCTGCCTCCTGAAGAAGCCTGACCTTAAACAACAAGAGGGTTTATTGTGAGGTGGAAGGTGAGTTGTTTTTTTTTTTTTTGCACCCTGGGTGTAAATATCTAACATTGTTATTCACACATAGGGCAAATAGCCATTGCTGCTATTTACACCAAGGTGTATTTGTGTATTTAGCGTGGCACATAAAAGGGCACCCGGGTGTTCCTAGACAAAAATGCTATTTACACCCAGGTTATTTATTAAAAAAACAAAACTCACTGACAGTAAAGGCACCAGCCCAGTGAAAATCAGTAATATTTGATGTTTGGGTTTTTTTTTTACTCAAAATGATGCGGAATCATCGATCAATCATTCGCAGTCTGCGCCTAATGGTTTAGTCTCGGTTAAAACCTGTTTTAGTCCTGGTTTAGACAGATTCATTTTTTCAACAGTTTTTATAGTTATTATAATGTGGAAACCTGAAATAATATAAAAGTTGGCATGTGTTTTATTTTATTTTATTATTATTATTATTTTGTAATCTAGAAAAGAAAAAAACAACAACGTGTTAATAGTTCAATGGACACGATTCTTCTATTTACAGCCATCTCAAGAAAAAGAGAACAGTGACGCGTCCGCTTACGTAATTTCCTGTGAAAAGTGCGGGAAGCTGGATTTGAGAATCTAAAGAAATAAAATTCAAAACGAAGGTAGGGTAAGGTAAAAGATAAGTCAGTGTTGCTACAAAATATATTTGTAATGCTTGTCCGACCATTACTATTTGGGTAATTAAGTTGAAAGCATCACAGCATCATGGGAAGTGTATTTTAGTTTGTGCGATGTATAGCTAGCGGTTATGCTACATACGTACAGCGCATGGACCGTGCCTCTTCCCGTGCGCCTCTAAACCAGGACTAAAACCAGAACTAAAACCAGGACTAAACCAGAACTAAAACCAGGACTAAAATCAAGTCTAAATTAAATGTTAAATTAATTAACATTTCTCCCAAATTCCAAATAAAAATATTGTTTAGAGCATTTATTTGCAGAAAATGACATGGTCAAAATAGCAAAAAAGATTAAATGTTTTCAGACCTCAAATAATGCGAAGAAAACAAGGTCATATTCATTTTAAAACAACAAAATACTAATGTTTTAACTTAGGAAAAGTTCAGAAATCAATATTTGGAGGACTAACCCTGATGACCATCCATCTTCCTCTTGATCACGTTCCAGAGGTTTTCAGTGGGGTTCATGTCTGGAGATTGGGCTGGCCATGAGAGGGTCTGGTGGTCCTTCATCCACACCTTGATTGACCTAGTTGTGTGGCGTTGAGCATTGTCCTGCTGGAAAATAAAACAGTCCTAATTGTCAGAGCAGAAGGAAGCAAGGTCTCTTATTATTTTCCAGAGTTGTATATTTTTAATTGACGTGACAGTGCACTTACCTGAGTAAAAGTTTTGGTTCTTCTTCCCATTGTGAGTAAGTGTACAACATTATTGTTTCTAGCACACCTCCAGCAAATATGATTTAATTTTTTTGTCTACGCTTTGAAAATACCAGATTTAGTTTTCTCCTTCCAGTGATATTAACTTCAGAACATTATAAATCAGATGTCACGTTAGACAGTTACTCTTTTAATTACTCTTACATGAGTAGTAACACTTTTTTGCTCTTACTTGGACTACTTTTATACTTCTACTTGAGTAACACTATTTTTAAGTAAAATTATTCTTACTTGAGTTAACTTTTGACTACTCTAACACCTCTGCTTATTGAGGAACTTTGACATGCTGATTATATACACTTTTAATTTTTTAATTATTCAAAATGAAAAAAAAAAAATGAACAGGGCCCTAGAGTCAGTCCTCCAGCAGGGGGCAGCAGATACCACTCCTCTTTCTGGAACTTGTCATTATTGCTTTAAAATGACTCTTTCTTTCTTCCTCAGCCTCTCACACGTGCCTCAGACTCCACCTTGCACATCTGCAGAACCACAAGAGCGATGGGCTCCTGTCAGAGAGGAGACGGATGTGTGGCCCCTGGGTGAGGGAGAGGAGAGCCCAGTGTGGAGGAGGGGCCCCTGGAGGACAGACCAGGAAGTGGGAGTCACCAACATGAGCTTTTAAGCAGCGATCACAGGTAATCTAGTGGCCTGTTGGGGTTGGAGAAATGGAGGAGGCCAGATGGTTGTTCTTGTTTCAGAGTTAGGCTTGTCAAAAGTCTGTAACGTAGGATACTAATCAATACAATTTGTAAAAAGTAGTGTTGAGACTAGATACTCATTTGAGCAGGTATTGATACTAAAAAGTCATATTCACAGGACAGAAATTAACCTCTGTGGAATAGAATGGCTTTGAACTGTATTAGAACAAGTATAAGAGCACGTAGAACATGGATCACTATGAAACATACCTGGACACCTGAGGGATTCAGGGGCATCCAGACTTTTTTTTTTTTCCCCCTGAGGATCCTCATATATCCCATATCCTCCTGAGACCTGGCCCATTCATTTGTGTCCATTAGAGTGGGCACTGAGTTAACCAGTCTATCTTTTAAGTGTTTTGAGATAGACTCTTAATGGGAGGACTAGGGTCTTCGGTTCCTCTGCCTACATAGAGCTGGGGGATTATAGGTTACTATCATGTCTATGATTTTAAAAAAAATTAACCCAATAGGAGTTAGTTTGTGGCTGCACTATGATAAAAAAATATATAAAATAAAATAAAAAATAAATAAAAGAGAGTCTAAACATGTATTGAAGCGACTGTAGAAGCTTGTCAGAGATGTTGGCCATCAAGAAAGTTGTTTTTGTCAGGTTGTTAACTTCACAGATTAGGGGCCAATACAGTGAATCTGTATCAATCATCACCATGTGATGCAGGGCTCCTGAGGGCCAACAGAAATAGGTCTGAGGGCTGCATTTAGCCCCCGGTCGTAGTTTGGACACCCCTAGTTTACACAGGCAGGATTAGTAGTAATAGTAGTAGGAGGAGGAGTAGGAGGAGGAGCTGTAGTATGAATAGTAGGAGGAGAAGAAGGAGGAGTAGGAGTAGTAAGCGTAGTAGGAGTAGTAGAAGGAATAGTAGTAGGAGTAGGAAGAGTAGGAGTAGTAGCAGTATTATGAATAGTAGGAGGAGAAGAAGGAGGAGTAGCAGTAATATGTGTAGTAGGAGTAGTAGAAGGAATAGTAGTAGTAGTAGGAGGAGTAAGAGTAGTAGCAGTATCATGAATAGTAGGAGTAGTATGAATAGTAGGAGGAGAAGAAGGAGGAGTAGGAGTAATATGTGTAGTAGGAATAGAAGAAGGAATAGTAGTAGTAGGAGGAGGAATAGGAGTAGTGACAGTAGTATGAATAGTAGGAGGAGGAGGAGTAGGTGTAGTAGGAGGAGTAGGTGTAGTAGGAGGAGTAGGTGTAGTAGGAGGAGTAGGAGGAGTAGTAGGAGTAGTAGGAATAGTAGCAGTAGTAGGAATAGTAGGAGGAGGAGGAGGAGTAGGAGTTTGGACACCCCTAGATTACAGAGGTATAAGACCACATAGTAGTATAAAAGAAAGTACTATAATTTAATGTTGAAAAAAATCACATTCTATTGTAATTCTATTTTATTCTAAATAACAAGTGTTTTGTATTATCACTATGGTATCAGAATCGAGGTTGAGTATCAAGTCTATTCTTTAGTATCGAAATGTTAGTATGACGACAACACAAGTGGCTTACAAGTTCACTATGCAACATTTCTGGTGAAGAGTCCACCATCTGCACGTCTCCACGGAGATGTTTTTGTTTGCGTCGACTTTTCCACAGTACGCCATTCAGCTCATCCATCTTGCATTTATTAAATTACAGATGTTTTATTGCTCATAAATGCCTCGAAAAACATGCATTCTTAGTGAGAGCGGTTTTCTCCTCTTCTCCGCTTTAAATGAAGTCAAATCAAATAATCTAGGCCTGTTGACAAGACGAGACACGAGACTGGATCTACGAGATTAGGCAAAACGAGATTTTGACAGTATTTAGTATAAATAAATTGCATAATCCAGTTCTCAATTTTAGATTTTACTTTATTGATTATTTTTGCTGTAGCACTGCTTTTTGTGACTGCAGCTTCTCAGTACTTAACTTTTTATCCAATCCAAACGTAAAATTATGGGAAAAAATCCTCACAAGAACATTTTTCTCATGTGTGCACAGTAAGGGTGTAACTATATCCAAGTCTCCTGATACGATACCAGCACGGTATGAACCTCACAGTACGATATTTATTGTGATATCGTTGGAAAGCTCATGATTAGAGATGTAACAATATCCAAATCTCTCTGTATGATATTTTCACGATATACATGTCACGGTATGAGATTTATTGCGAAATTTTGTGGAGGCTAAACAGCTAAAACTGTTAATATGCTACTTTTTCCTGTTAAAATGCCTTGACAAGACTTAATCCAAAGAACTAAGACTTAAAAGTGCTTAGAACTGTTTTTTCTTCATGTAGTCTACACTGAAACAGAGCAAAGGATCATGGTCTATGTAGTTCCCTCTGTTCTTTTTAGCTATTACTGCACCATAACTCTTAATTTAAGCGAAGAGACTTGTAGTTTGATATATTGTGATGGTCCACGATATTATTGTGAGAACTTTGACGATACGATATCACGATATTTCATTTATTGTTACATTGGTAGTGCCCAGTCTTGTCTTGCAAGATCTTGTGACTCGAGATCTGACTCTGAGTGCACCGTGGTGTGTGAATGGTCAATGAAGTAGAGTGCTCCATAGCTGCCCGAACTCAAAAAAGCTTTCGTATTTATAGCACAAACTTGGGCTATATATTTAAAGGACCTAATATCACGTTATTTTCTGATCTAGGTTATAATTTTTCTCATCACAAACAGAGCTGGAGTTGTGTTTTGTTTCATTCACACATGTTTAACACACAACTTCTGCATATTTAGGTTGAGTTCTTTTTTCAAACTGAAATCACTCTGTTATGTGGTTATACAGGAAGTGTAAACTCCATATACCTTCACTAGAATCACCTGGATCATTTCAGCGCTTCACTCCTTTGGTGCACCAACAATTGGAGGCTTTCTATTCACAATCACAACTGTACAAATGGTAAATCAAAACTAACAGTTGTTGGCGTTGTGTATCGTAGAGGAAATCTTTTCAATTACAGCTAAAATGTCAGTTAACCTTAAAACTACCGCTTGATGACATCACAAGGTGGAATGGAGCATATAACTGAACCCAAATGGGATGATGGCATCAGCTGGACCGGAGTATCAAAAGACACATCGAGAGACTGGAGAATCACAATGAATTAAAGAGAGAGAAAGGAGGGAGGGAGGGGACAGAGCGAGTGAAAACAGAGAGACAAGAGGGAAAAGGGGGTTAGGGATGGAGAGTGTGAGACCGTAAGAGTGAGAGCAGAAAGGGGAAGAAGGAGAGACAGAGAAATGGAGGGAGAAAGAGGAGGAGAATGAGGGAGAGAGGCAGGCAGACAGACACACTGTAAAATCAAATAAGTTGACCTTACTTGAATAAAATCTAAGAAACGCATTGCCTTGAAATATCTGTCTGATTGTAGTAGGAATAGTAGTAATAGAAGTAGCAGTAGTAGGAGGAGTAGTATGAGGAGGAGGAGGAGTAGGAGTAGGAGGAGTAGTAGGAGGAGGAGGAGTAGTAGGAGCAGTAGTAGGAGGAGTAGTAGGAGGAGTAGGAGGACGATTAGGAGTAGTAGTAGTATGAAATAATGTATTAATATTTGATTTGATTTTGAAGTATTCTGCCATATTTCCACACAGTAATTTATGTATGGAAGGAACAGACAAGTCATTCCTCAGTGTAGTGTTCAGTAAATTCCTCTTTCATCTAACGGGGCACAGCAAGTGAAGTGAACTTTAGTTTTCATTTATAGAATCAGTCAGTTCCGCAAACCTGAAATACTATATGTAGTAACCTTTACTTTAAGAGGAAGTTCATCTTACTACCGATTGCCTTGAATTGAGCAAGTAAATGTTACTTCTATACAGAAGTTAGTGTAAAAACAGGTTCTGTTCTACAATAATGTCATTTAGATCTGCATCAGGTACAAGGATTTGAATATTTATTAGTCTATGAAAAAAAAACACAAGTTCAAAATATATTGTAATGTGTAACAATAAAATAATATAACTCGGTGGTTCCATGTGAACTCAACCAAGACCCCCGAACTTAGAGCTCAAAAAATACTGAAAGAAACAAAACAGATGAACAAGTGTACTTGAACGCAGACTGAATGACCAGAGGGAGGATACAGAGACATTCTGGGAGGATCGGGGAATGAGTGGCGGCTGTAGGAAAAACGGGGAGGTAGTAAAAAGAGGAGCGGAACAGACTTGGAAATGGAGCTGGACTCTTGGCAATAACACGTCACTGTTGAAGTTACTCATCTCATTCAAGTCGACCTGAGTCTAATTTACAAGTCATGTGATTTTTTTTTTTTTTTTTTTTTTTTTTTTTCAAACTTCACTGTTACTTTATCACAATCATTATGATCCACAAAGTTGTAGCTGTGAGTAAAGTAAACAAGCTGAATGAAAGTGAACCCGAGTATTAGATTTTACAGTGTAGAGACAGAAAGAGAGGAGAGACAGAGAGATAAAGTGAGTGGGAGGGAGGGAAAAAGAACGGGACAGAGAAATAGAGAGAGAGAAATAGAATGGGATGGGCTGTGGCATGTGCTCTTCTGGGACACCCCTCTTTTTCCCCCGACAGAGGATAGACAGAACCACACGGAGGAGAGAAAAGAAGGAGGGAGGGAGAGAGGGAAGGGGAAAATGGCATGAAAGAGGGGAGGGGGAAAGGAAGGAGAGTGATTGAGAGAAGAAGAAAGGTGGATAGGAGAAAGAGAACAGGATTGAGGGAAGTGAAGAGAGGAGTGGAGAGAATGAGAGCGGAGGAAATATTTATGGGGAGAGACGGAGGGAGAGAGATGGGAAGGAAGGGAGGTAGAGACAGAGAGATGGAGGAAGAGATAAAAAGTTGAAGAAGAGGGGTGGGCTGTGAGGATGGACAGAATCACAGGAGAGTGATGAAGAGGGAGAGAGAGAGGGAGTGGCAAGGACTATGGAGGGAGAGAAAGAGGAGGGGAAGTATAGAGAGAAGTGAAGGTGGAGAGGGTGAGAAAGAAAGAGAGAGAGTGATTGGGAGAGAAAGTCAGAGAGGGATGGTGAGAGAGTGAAAGAAGGACTGGGAGACAAAACTGGAAAGAGGGAGGTATAGAGAGGAGTAAAGAAGGTAGGGAGGGTGAGAAAGAAAGACAGAAAGGGAGGGAGAGGGATGGTGAGAGAGAAAAAGAAGCACAGGGAGACAAAACAGGAGAGAGGGAGGTTTAGAGAAGAGTAAAGAAGATGGAGAGGGTGAGAAAAAACAAAGAGAGTGAAAGAAAGAGGGAGAGAGTGAGTGAGTGGGGAGAGAGAAAGTCAGAGAGAAATGGTGGGAGAGAGAAAGAAAGACAGTGAGACAAAACATGAGAGAGGGAGGTTTAGAAAGGAGTAAAGAAGGTGGAGAGGGTGAGAAAGAACAAAATAAAGAGAGTAAGTGGGGAGAGAGAAAGTCTGAGAGAGGGATGGTGGGAGAGCGAAAGAAGGACAGTGAGACAAAACTGGAGAGAGGGAGGTTTAGAGAAGAGTAAAGAAGATGGAGAGGGTGAGAAAGAACAAAAAAAAGAGAGAGAGAGTGAGAGAATCAGTGAGTGGGGAGAGAGAAAGTGGGAGAGAGGGATGGGCTGTGGAGGTGGCTCTTCTGGGACGCGACAGAGGATAGACGGACGCAGACGGAGCCACAGACGGAGGAGAGGAGAGAAGGAGTCGAGACAGAGGATAGAGGATAGACGATAGACAGAGCTGCAGACGGAGGAGAGAAGGAGCCATGCCCAATTTCAGCGGGACCTGGAAAATGAAAAGCAGTGAGAATTTTGACGAACTGCTCAAAGCTCTGGGTGAGAAAAAGATGGAAATTATTTTGTTTTTTGTTTTGTTTTTTCAGGGTATTTTAAAAGGGGACTACACAGAGGAAAGGGTCCGGAAGATACTAGAAAAGCTTTGGAGTAGGGATGTAACAATAATCAAAATATCATGATATTGTATCATCAAAAGTCTCATAATAATATCGTGGACCGTCACAATATATCGAATCTCAAGTTTCTTTGCTTAAATTCATTGTTTTAGTGCAGCAACAGCTAAAAACTAGTGAGAACTACATAGACCATGATGCTTTGCTCTGTTTCAGTCCAATCTACATGCTGAAATAATCATTATAAACACTTTGAAATCTTTATTTTTTTGGGTTATGACGAAAAAGTAACATTCACAATTTTGTAAATATATATTTTTTGCCTTCACAAAATATCGCAATAAATATCATACCGTGGATATCGTGAGAATATCGTATCAAGAGATTTGGATATCCTTACATCTCTAGTGCTGAGTAATTTTGTCACAGTGCTAAAATTTCAAACTCTATTTATTTAGACTTGATACATGATACCACAATGATACTAAAAAAAACCCAAAAAAACACTTTTTAATTACATGTGTCCTTTATATCTGTGTGTAATCCCTCAGTGGATCTGGTAGGTTCTATAGTGTCCATACTACAGTAGTCTATGTGCTCTTATACTTGTTCTGATACAGCTCAGCATCATTCTAAATCAGACCTGGGCATTGTGCAGCTCCCGAGCCACATACAGCTCTTTAATTGACTCTGACCGGTCCATTTAAGCTCATTTGGAATTACAAAATAAACATATTTTATAATTTTACCTCATACATGGACTAAAGCTGCATTGTTTTTATTTTAGAAGTGTTTTTTTAATTGACATTTTTGTAAGGCGGCCTCACTTTTTCATTGCTTTGTCATAACATAAACTCTTACCTGTCTGAGCAGCTCGTCAAAACAATGATATTTACAGCTTTTTATACAGAAATACAATTTTAATTATGCAGAATTGAGTTAAGCATTTTGGCTCAGTCCTCCACAATATTTTCTGTTTCTCATGTGGCCCCATGGAAAAAAGAATTGCCCACCCCTGCTCTAAAGCGATTCAGGAAAGCTTCATTTGTGTCCTGTGAATGTGGGTGACCACATATGAGGCTCTGCCCAGTGTCTCTCACCCATCTGACCACATCTCTGTAGTCTGTGACCTGCTCTGGAGCCCCCAAAACAAACAATAACACCTGAAAATACATAATACACATTATCAGATACCTGTTCAAATGCTCAAATTTTCGATTTGTAACTTAATTTTTGATACTTTTGACAACCTTATCCAGAAGAGAAAACTGAAATCCAAACTACAGAACTAATGCAGGGATCTCATACATTTCAGAACATGTTTGTAGAAGTCTAAATAATAAAAGTCTAAAGTAGATACAGAAGGCTACAGAAGCAGGTTAGTGTAGGATAAATGTCGATGAGTTTGAAAGAAAAAGCTTTTTTTTTTGAGGTGCAGGAAGTGGAATAGTTTAATCAAAAGAATCGTTGTAGTTAACTCACAAGTACTATTATTATTACTATTATGTATATCTTTTTTTTTTTCTCTGTGCTATCCAAGTTGTTCTTGTTGCTTGCTGACCACCGAATTCTTGGCATCATCTTTTGTAAACAGGGTTAGACATTCTTAAGTGATTTTTGAACAGCTTCAGTCATAGTTTTATGTGAAATGTAACAGAATATTAAGTACCTGACTGAAGAAAATAAACAACTACTACTACTACTAATAATAATAATAAACTACAGGGTTACAATTACAGACACTACAATTCACAATATTTAACTTACTAAATGATTTCACCAATTTTGTATTGATTAAAAGGACAGTGTAGATTTTGTTTTCACAGACATGTGAAACATGTCATTTGGGGCTTTGAAAGAGCCGTGCAGGGTTCAGATTTGGGTCATATTTGTCATCTTAATAATTCATAACACATGGCTACTGTACGATATAGAGACTAGAGGGTTTTATTGTTTGAAGATTTAGATTTGGGTACGTTTAAGCCAAATTATTTTAAGCATATTGCGGTGTTGATTTGATACACAATTATTACCAAAATAGAAGAATACCAAGAGCAACTATATATTTATATAAAAACTAGAGGAAATAGAACAAGAAAACATATAGTGAGACAAATTGCAGTTTTGTTTTCGTCAATAAAATCATACTGATATTTATTTCTTCATTATAGCGTACCCCTAATGTATCTTAAATCCAGATTTATTTGAAAGGTCTACACCAGTGAGTATAAAGGAATGCCACAGATTTGCCAAAATCATTTTAAAATCCTACACGCCCTTTTGGTATTTTCGTTTCCAATTCGAATTCTATGGTAGTTATTTGTACTTCCAAAAGGATTAGATGTTTTTGTAACTGCTGATGTTTCAACAGTGAATCAAGCTGATTGTGGACATTTATTTAAAATGTGTCGCTCAATTTTAGATGGTCCAATATGTCCAATAACAGACTGATAGATAAACAAATAAAGAGATAGACAGACAGATAGAGAAATAGATAGGGAGATAGACAGATAGACAAATAGACAGACATATACTTTATTGATCCTGAAGGAAATTCTATTTTCTGCACCAAAAACGAAACATAATACTATTAAAACTACTACTACTGCTACTACTACTAATAATAATAATAACAGAGCAGTCCATTTCGTGCTTTAATCATTTATAGTGATGCGTTTACAGGTGAATGGCGTGTGGGACAAAGCACTTCCAGAATGTGTCCATGGAGCTGGACTGGGACATAAGCTTATTCGTTTTGATGTTGTGGCTGATAGCGGATCATTTTTGCATCATGTTTATCAAGGCCCACAGACTGAAGTCCAGTTGTAGTTAGGTTTACAAATGGACTTTTCACTTTTGTGAAAATCATCACAAAATGTATTCAGGGATATAATATACAATACAATACAAGGGCAATATCTTAGGAACAAAAAGATGCACCTCTTTTAATGGAAATAAAATCTTTAGCCTACAGAGGGCTTCATTTATAGACACCCTGAAAATTCAAATGAAATAACGATGTGGCAGACAGGTCCATTTTGCTAAACTTTATTTCTGCAACTCAAAATGCTTGTCAACATCCTGTGTGTCCCCCATGTGCTCGTCTGCATGTTTGACAACATCGTGGCTCGCTTCTAGTGAGACAACAGATTGTGTTTTGTGGGATGTCCTCCCAGATCTAAGGGCATCACTGAGCTCCTGTAGAGTCTGAGGAGCAACCTGGCGGCATCTGATGGACCCAAACGTAATGTCCCAGAGGTGTTCTTTAACTGTATTCATAAAAGGCTTCACAACCACGTAAGACATAATACACAGAAGATAAAATATAAAACACAGAAAATGTCAAAAAAAAAAAGATGCACACATAAAAACCGAAGACCATTCATAAAAAGGCCTGACGATAAAAGAGGGGCTTAAAAAGTGATTTAAAAGATGGTGCTAAATCTGTGTATCATTCGTTCATTCGTTTTTCAAAATAAAAAATAAATGAATGACAAAAATAAGTGTCTAATTTTAAACAAATCCCCGTGACAAGGCTTACAAATCCTCGGTCGATGCTGCTGACTCTGAAACAGTGACAACGTTAAATGATGGTAAAAGAAGTAGTTTTATATATATATATATATATATATATATATATATATATATATATATATATATATATATATATGTATATATATATATATATATATATGTGTATATATATATATGTATATATATGTGTGTGTGTGTGTATATATATATATATATATATATATATATATATATATATATATACATATATATAAACTTTGTTTTTATTACTTTTAAGTAACATTTCAAAACACACAAAAAACAATATAAAAATCAAAACCAAAGTAACAACAGTCTGGAGTTACAGGTTCTTATTTAAACATGCATTTAAACATACAACTTTTCCCATTGCTCATCGTATTTGTACCTTTCAGTTTAAGATTATATGTTATTCTTTCCATCAATGAAATATTCTCCACAATCCTGATCCAGTCTTGTTGTGCAGGTGGATCTGGTTGCAACCAACTCTTTGTAATTCCCTTTTTAGTTGGGGCTAAAACAGTTTTTGTCAAATATCATCCTTCCTTACTACATCTGATATATTTCCCAGATACATCACAAGACAAGTGTTTGGAATTCCATATCCCAGAATACTAGTTAAAGTTGTGGATGGTAAAAGAACTTTTTACCAATGTCCTTTTCTACATTTTCTGGATTGTAAAGACAAACCATTCAGAATATTAATGTAAACAAATGTAAATAAATTTAAAATATTGAAGAAAAAAAGTATTCCCTACAGATTACATAAGATTACAAAAGACGAATACACAAATGTTGAACTTGATCATTTCTATTTCCAAGACCCAAGAGCTCATCAGCATTTTCACAGTATTCCTTTCAGCTGTCCCCATCTGTATTAAATATTATTGGCTTGTTGACCATGGCGTTGTCATCTGAAACTCCGTCATTGGTTTAACTAAGCGTGTTATTCATATTTCAGTTTTTTCTTTGTCTTAGTTTCTTTTTCAGCTCTTAAAAGTACATTCCAGAGGTCTCCATCTATTGTGTCCATTGAACACAAGCAGAAGTTACATTTTAAGTAAAGATTGCAGCGTCTTCGTCATCTCAGTCCAGTGTTTATCGGACGATCCCAAAACACGTGGTAACAACGATGGGCTCCCCGGCAACCGTAGTTTCTTCAGCAACACAGATTTTTGTCATTATGGGACAGATTTACCAACATTTGCAACATTTCTCTGACAACGCATAGCCACAATTTAAAGAATGTTTCACAGTGTGGTATTAAATCTTTCTATCTTCATGGAGACCAAACCAGACCAAGTTACAGGTCAGATCTGTGGAGAAGCGACCCTGTTCACAGTCAGAATGCTTGTGTTTAGAGGTATTTTTGAGCTTTTAAACCACCTGTAATTGAATAAATGTAAAGTAGAGCTGTTTAATGTCACACTGTGGAACATTCCAGGCAGAGAAATTATATCACCATAGAAAAAAACAAGTGATGAACCCAAAACCCAAAAGTTACACGATGCACCTTTGTACCATAGTACCAAGAAAGCCTCAGAATATAGTTACTAGTTATTTAGAGGTGCACTCTGCAACTTTTCTGGTGGAGATTCTGCCACCTGCTTGTCATCATGGAGATGTTATTGCTTTGCCTGGAATGTTCCATGGTGTGGCATTAAATAAATCTGTCTGGCATTTATTCATAGTGGGTGTTTCTATTTCTCAAAAATACAATAATTCTTTGTGTGAGCAGGGGCCACAGATCTGAACTGTAATGTAGCGTAGTTCTGTAACCTGCTCTTCTCTCTTGTGATATATGCGTTTAATCCAGGGGTGTCAAACATATGGCCCGGGGGCTGGATCCGGCCCTCCAATACTTTGAATCTGGCCCTCGGCTGATTTTCTACTAAAATATTTAAATTATATTTTCTATTAAAATATTGGTAATTTTCTGCGCAGCTGAGCATAGTAGCATCTCCAGCGCCTCTGTGCGTGGCCGCCTCCTACCAGAGCAGCACAAATGAAGACTTGCCTCTTTCCAAACGCTTTTAAAGGACAATCGTTTTGACTGTTGACCGTGACACCCTCATCAGCAAAATGTCAAAAATGAGAGAAGTGGTCGCCGAGTGCAGGATTTTTCAAGAAAAATTGACTTATTCCTAAAACATTTTGTTGAAATTGCATTTTTCTTAAGTTTCAGGTTGTTCATAAGATTATAATATTTTGTAAAAGAAAGAGTTCATCAGTTAAAAAATATTTCTGTAATAGATTTGTGTTTCTCTGCACAAATATTTGAACTTATTGTTATTTTTGGGGTAAATATGACATGAGTTTTCTGATCCGGCTCCTTTGGGATCAAAGTAAGTTGGATACGGCCCCCGGACCAAAATGAGTTTGACAACCTTGCACTAGACGGTTTGCAAGAACCCCAGAAGTTGTAAACCACGCACTGACCAAGAAGAAGAGAAGAGCTGTGACTCCATGACTCGGTCCCTTTTTTGTGGTACAGCGTAACAGTAAACAAAGCGGTCTAGATGGATGTAGATGAAGACAAACATTCTGTGTTGGCAACAATTTAAAGTTGAAACAAAGAGAATGTTTGAATTGATCAAGGGGAAAGATATTATTGTTCTTCTTCCTACGGGATTTGGGAAAAGCTTAATATACCAGTTATCCCCGTTATCAGCGTATTACATACGTCACGACCAAATAGCACTGACTGGTTGAATTTACAAAAAGTGCCCACCTACCATCAAGTGAACGAATCCTTACACTGCGAGGTCAGACGATTTCCACGATGTGAAACCATCTGATGAATCAGGCTAATTGAAATCGGAATTGAAAAAGTCAGAAGGGTGCATCCCTAATAACATTTTATATCTTAGCAATTGGAAAATAAAAACCCTGAAAATGTTGCTGGAATCTTAGACCCATTAACAATCCACATCACCTCAGTCAAACTAATGAATGCGTCTGCCTGAACTATACCCCCGTGATTCTAATAAGCTCTGTGATCGACTGTTTGTAGCTTTCGGCCTAATCACTTTTCCAGCCTGTGCTCAGATCTGCAGCAGCCCGAGCGTGAGCGCCACATTCCTCCCTCTCATCACCCTGTCATCTGCTCGGCCACGTTCCCCACATCTGCAGATAACAAGAAGTCTCTCTTTACGGATAAAACCACATGTCTCCTGCCACTGACAGCTCGGCCCATTCGTCTGCACAGACACAGGGAGTGTACGATAGACGTTCAACCCACACACATGCACATGCCCTCCCCAGGATCCGGAGCAGGTCTGGAGGTGTGAGGAGGTGCAGGAGGCAAGGGCAGGAGGGAAAGTCGATGTGTAGTTTTGAGGACGTTTTGGGATTCAGGTCTGGAGCAGGTTCTGTGCTTTAGTTGTGTTTTGTGTGTTGTCTGAAAATGAAAAAAGTCAGGGTGAGAATTAGTTTTGTATTTCATGGAATGGTGAAATTTTATGTTTATAATTTAGAACTTGAAACTAAATCATCTTTTTGCATAGCAAAGATGCCAAAATAGTTGTGGATGAGAAGCCCTAGTGTTGATTGATGTTCGAACAGTTTGTATTTTTTGATTTTCCTGTAAAGTTACCAGAATGCTGAATGGTCACATTTATTTTCTTCACTTTACAAGGAACCACACACATTCACCAGGGTTCACAGATACTGGGACTGAGGCAGGTTAAGGGTCTTAGGACACAGCAGCAGTCAACACCTGCGGGAGCTGTGATTAGACTCCCAGCCTCTGGATCAGTGGACCCAGCTTTATTCAGTGAGCTGATTCTGGGGACTGGCCCAAAATCACTGTCTGATTGATCCACAAACCTATTTGTCAACCATTGTTTTAATGTGCTATTTCTTCTCTTTATAACAGCAGTTTTCAATAGATGAGGCCCACCTCCCCTGGGGGGCAACAAAGAGCCACTGGGGAGGCGTGACACACACGGACTAAACCAGGACTGAACCAGGACTAAACCAGGACTGAACTAGGATTAAAACAGGACTAAACCAGAACTGAACCAGGACTGAGTGTCGGGATGGGCCCGGAGGTGCACCTGCACAGACCATCGAGTGACCGCAGGAGAAAGGACTGGCACAGAGCTCCGCGCCTCACAGAGCGAAGTGCCAGCATCGCCCGATCAAGCTTTGCAGACAACCTGCTCCACAGACTCAGGGTTCTCCCTCTCTCTCTCTGAAGTCCAAGATTAGTCCTGGTCTAGTCCTGACTTAGACTTGGTTTAGTCCTGGTTTCGTTGTCCTACTGATGTTCAGTGATGTTAAAAATAGCCTCAATTAGGCCTGCATGAAGTTGGAAATTATCTGCTGTTGCAAAAATCATTTATGAACTTTAAAAGAAAAGCACATCTACCTGGAGCATCAGCCTAATGTAGAGGATTTAGGGTGATGGTCTGTATTTTGTTCTTATCCTGGTCTTACTCTTTCTTAACTCTGAGCCCCATCTGTAAACAGTGTCCTGTGTGTGCTCCTAAGGTGTGAACGCGATGCTTCGTAAAGTGGCCGGAGCCGCAGCCTCCAAACCCCACGTGGAGATCAGGCAGAGCGGAGAACATTTCTACATTAAGACCTCCACCACCGTGCGCACCACCGAGATCAACTTCACCATCGGGGAGGAGTTCAACGAGGAGACGGTGGACGGACGCAAGTGCAGGGTAAGTCCCAGGGTCCCTGAGGTGAAACACGTGGGTGGGATCATTCATAGACGACTCCTGTCGAATAAGGATGCACTGACCCTGCTTTTTCAGTTCTGATACCCATGTTGATACTGTTGCTTTAAGTATCTGCCAGTACTCGATATTAACCGATACTTGATATTAACCGATAAAAGTGCAGAGACTGAAAACAGGATTTATTTCCTTAAAACAAATAAAATGCCACAAAACTGATCCAAATGTAGCTGTTAAAGGTGAACTGTGTAACTTTTCGTTTCTTCGGTTGGGGGTCACCTGCCTGTTTCTATAGAGATGTCATTGCTCTGTCTGGAATGTTCCAGTGTGACATTAAACAGCTCTAACTTAAAGCTGTGCAATTAATTGAATTTTGATTGCGATTTCCATTTGTGTGTCAGATGATCTTATATTTATTTTCAGTTTGAAAGTTCAGTTTTGAAAGTGTTTTTGTTTTTTTTTTGAGAGAGAGAGAGAGAGAAAGGCTGAATAAATGCATCGTGTAACTAAAAAAATCATCGTTTGAATAATCATGATTTCAATACTGACCAAAATAATCGTGATAATGAGTTTAACTTAGATTTTATTTGCAAATTGTTTTTTGGCTTAAAAATACCTAGAAAAACAACATTCTGACTGTGAGCGGGGTCGCCTCTCCACAGATCTGACCTATTACTTGGTCTGGTTTAGTCTCCATTCCAGACAAAGCAATAACATCTCCACGACGTAAAGCATTTGACCGATCCTCCACGAGAAAAGTTACGCAATGCAGCTTTAATTTAACAAAATATTATCCAACCAGAATATCTGAACCACTATTTGGAAACCGATATCCGACTGTTGCAAATTTTTCAATATCGGCGTGGATATCCATTACCAGTATCATATCAGAGCGTCTCTACTCTGAATTATGTTTTGAATTGTGTTGCTATGGCTCTAATTTTGCACATAACAGAGCAGTACAAGTTGATATATTTATTCTTAGACAAACGCAGAGGGGTCAGCAGGTCACAGTCTCAGTGTTATTGAAAGGAAACATGTCTCTGCAGAGTCTGGCCACGTGGGAGACAGAAAACAAGATCTACTGCTCCCAGGTTCTACTGAGCGGCTCCGGGCCCAAGACCTACTGGAGCCGCGAGCTGAGAGGGGACGAGCTGCAGCTGGTCAGTCGCTTCACACGCCACATATGGATCACGTACACTACACGACTGCAGCTTTTTACAATACATCTCATTTGTTTTTGGTCAATTACACGACCGGTCAAAAATTTGGACACACCCGCTCAGTCGTCTTTCTTTGTCTGTTTACTACATCTTACATTTTATAGACATAAGGAAGACAGATGAAGCAAGACACATCCAATTATGCAGTAAAGAAAAAAATATTTAATAAATGAATTCAGTGTTTTTTATATTTTAGTTTCAGATCCTTAAAGTAAACAACCTTTGCTTTGTTAACAGTGCTGCAAACCCATTGGCATTCTCTCAGTGAGCTTTGTGGGAAAGCTGGCCAATGGGTCTTAGTAGGAGGCAGACTTCAACAAAAAAGTGTCATTGAGAAGACAAAATTAATTACACTAACACTGGAAGTTGATTTTAATCTAAATTAATTACAAATTAACTGTTAACGCAGGTAAACAGAAAATAAATAACTTAAATTATATCAAACCAAATGCAGCAACCCTACTGCACAGAAGTCATTCACCAATTGACAAAACCTGCTTTTATACCTCCCCCAGGTAAGTACCATATTCCTTTGACAGGTAACATGTGTACATGTACCTTTAGCAATATTCAAAGTGGGCATTTTAAATTATGAGGGCCTATGTCCCTTTAAACAGTGTTTAAACTAAACTAAACACTAAAATATATAAACAAAATACACAAAACAATGAAACAAAAAGGAACTGAAAGCAGTTCTCCCCTCCAAATGGTCTGACCCACAACCCTCCCCCAGAGACTTTAAATATGTTCAATGTAGGGCACGCCCCCTTCTTTGTTTCCAGACCCTGTGGAGCTGTAGGTAAGTACAGTGAACATGGATGCAAATGAACATATGAAGTATTTAAATTAACAATGTGTGCATGATAATTTAACTAAAGAACCCAGAATTATATGTAACTGTTTAGTTGGATATGGTAAATTATAGGCAATTAACACATCTGCGAAATCAAACAAATTAACGGCAAAGGAGAAATTTAATTTGTTAACTGGACAAATGGTAACAAATTAATGTTAGAATGAGACAAAGGGTCACTTTGTCAGCAGCTTCATGATTAAGTCTCCTGAAATGGTTTTCACTTCACAGCTGTGCCTTGTCAAGGTCAAAAGCAGAGATAAAAGCAAAAGGTGGCTATTTTTATTTTTATTTTTTAAACAAATCTAAAACATCTAAAAGTGATATAATATGTGCAGGAATCCCAGTTTAGCCCATCGGTTACAAATGTTGAGTTTTCTTTAGGACATAAATGTCTCTGAGTGACGTGCACAGACACACTCGTGTCTTTCTTCATTCATGTCTCATAAAGAAACCCTTCACTCACTTGATGAGGCCAATCCCGTTTATTTCCCTGAAGCTTTGGCTGCTGATTGTGGAGAATGTGCTCAGTGTTTTTACTCAGATACACAGACCAGTACACAGCCCAGTACACACACCCTGGTCCTCAATTTTTTGTTCCCAATGGGACCCCCCACCTTTGCTGTAAACTGTAAAGACCTCCCTCCGCTGACCCCAAAAAGTTTCTTTGGTGCTGTTTTAGTTTGTCTGTATTATTATCATATAAAATATAAATCAAAAGCAAGTTAATAAAGACTGATGCAGACTTTTCACAGCCTGAGATCATGTCTCTTGACTAGTGTTGCGGAGTTTGTTGCCATCAGTTGAGCGGAAATAACATATAATTTCTGCAAAGATAATAATAATTTTAGAAATATACAAATGAACACAGTTGCAGCACAAAACAGCACAAACTATATTCAAAATTTTTGTAATTAATTTTCTGTCTGTTTTGAGACTATTTAACATTTTGAGGGGCTGGATGACGTCATCAGCCGAAAATAAAACTGCTAAAATCTTAAGAACCATAATCACACAAACAAAATGTTTACCAGCACAAATCAAGCACAAACGAATGACACCATTTTGGATGTTTTAAAACATTTTGATGCTTCCTGGGAGCTGGCTGAACCCTATTTGACCTATAAAAGAATCATTAATATCTTCAAAACCAATGCAGCACAAAACAGCACAAACAAAGCATAAACGACAGACATAGTTTTTGTATAGGTTTGCGTTTGATGGGGGCCAACTTCATGTTTTCTGATCTATGTTCTAATGTTGTTTCCTCATCACAAACATAGTTAAGTTGTGTTTTGCTTCATCCACACACATTTAACACACAAACCCTGTAGATTTACATTTGCATTTTGAGTTTAAGAGATGTAGACAGTGCATGAATGTCATACCGTGGAACATTCCAAAAACACTAACATCTCATTAGAAACTTTAGATGTGGCACATTATTAGACTTCCTGTTGAGTGACAAATGCCAGTAAAAGTGACATAAATTGAACTAGGTCACCTCCAGTTCTAACCGTCTACACCTTCACTTTCACTTTTTTCAGCCCCAAGCACAATCTTGGAGTCTTTGTCTTCTGCTGAGAATATCTTCCCACTATTACACAGAATTAATTATAGGCTGTTGAAACGAGTGTGTCATTTCCGCACAGACTGATTGTTTACCTGATTATTTAAACATTGCTGGAATTCTCACTCCACAAAAATGCGACAGGCGCTTAAGTTTTCCTGGAAAGGTCACGAACAGCATTTGACAAATCTGTTTTCATTCAGTCTACATTACAAAGAATCAAATGCTTACAGGGTCTAGTCACTTATAGAATGTCTTAACGTTCCTGTATTACACAAACTTGACTTTTGTGAGCTTTAAGCCGTGTTAGAATGTTGTTACCTCATCCAAAACATAACTTTGTTTCATTCAACACATTTAAGTCACCCTTTATTATTAGTCTGTCTACATCTCCGAAACTCAAAATGCTCTGCTGCTACATTCTTTTACAGTTAGGGATTTACCGATATCTAAATCTCTCGGTACGATATTTATTGCGATATTTTGGAGAGGCTGATACAATTGTAGATGGAACAATTTTTTGCTTTTGAAATACCTTGACAAGATTTTGGTGTGAATTATTTTCGTCATAATCCCAAGAATTCAAGTAAAAAACATATTTCTTCATGTTGTCTGCACTGAAATGAATCATGGGATATGTAGTTTCTGATGTTTATAAGCTATTGCTACTATAAAACCATGCATTTAGGCAAAGGAACTTGTGATTCGATGTAATGTGACAGTCTACGATATTATTTTGAGACTTTTGACGATACGATATCACGATATCATGATATTTCTGTTATTGTTACATTCTGTTATGTATGACTTTTGAAATCACAACAGAAATAACAACAACAAAAAATTGCCCAAAAAGGAGTGGGAAGAAGAAAACGTATTTAGTCCTACCCCCAGTTCTGATTTAACACAATGAACTTTACATTAGCTCATTTGAACTATTTACAAGTGAGGACAATGAGTAACAGTTATAGTTTGGTAACATAACGATTATCATATTGCAATAATACAAAAGGATATCAAGGATAGTAACAGACAGCAGCTACAAGTACCATATTTTTCAGAATAAAAGTTGCTCCGGAGTATAAGTCGCACCAGCCAAAAAATGTGTAATGAAGAAGAAAAGGTATATAAGTCACACCGGACTATAAGTTGCACTTTTTGGGGGAAATTTATTTTATATAATCAGAGACCAGGAACCGACATTTCATATTGAAAGTCAAGTTATAGTAATAACAATAGAACAGAGAACAACAGACTGTTAATGTCACACATGAACAGTTCTTCAGATAAACTATAGCATAAACAACAGAACAAGCAATCTCTCCATCTCACTCCAAATCACTAAATCCATTCAATACTTCATCCTCGGTGTCACTTCTGAGCAACCCCGCGACCTCTGGAGGTAAACAGAGCGCCGCTTCCTCTTCTGCGTAGCTGTCGTCAGACTCAGCATCATTATTCAATTATTCCGTCCTTTCTGAATCCCCACAGGATGGTTTCGCTGTCACTGAAGTCCAGGCTTTGTCGATTCATCCAGTGACTTCCAGGAAAGTTGCATGGTGCACCTGCCCGGTTGCCGTGAAGCTGTGTTCTCTGTCCCCGGTTTCCACCAGTCCCTCACAAGTTTCTCGCTCACTCCAGACTTTCTTTCTGCTGCTTGCATTGCACAATGACAAAAACAACTATTTTCTTCATTATTTGTCTCCAAAACCAAAATGAAAAAACAGATTTTTCCCGTTTCCATGACCTAACCTGCGATTCCGAACTTTTGGGCCACATATGGACTGAACCAAGACTAAAACAGGACTGAAAAAGGACTAAACTGGTTTCAATCCTGGTCTTAGTCTCAGTCCCAGTCTCGTTCCCGGTCTGGCCCCGGTCTCGGTCCTGGTCTGGTCCCGGTCTAGGTCCCGGTCTCAGGCCTGGTCTCAGTCCTGGTCTCAGTTCTGGTCTAGTCCCGGTTTAAGTCCCAGTCACAGTCTCAGTCCTGGTTCTGGTCTCAGTTCTGATCTGGTCCCGGTCTAATTCCCGGTCACAGTCTCAGTCCTGGTCCTGGTTCTGGTCTCGGTCTCAATCCTGGTCCTGGTTCCGGTCTCAGTCCTGGTCTCAGTTCAGATCTGCTCCCAGTCTAAGTCCCAGTCTCAATCCCTGTTTCAGTCCTGGTTTAGTCCTGTTTTAGTCTTGGTTCAGTCCTAATTCAGTCCTGTTTTAGTCTTAGATCAGTCCTGGTTCTGTCCGTATGTGGCACAAATGTTTGGCACTGGAGTTAAATCACGGAAACGTGATATTTTTTCATTTTGAATTTGGAGACAAATAATGAAGAAAATTGTTGTTTTTTTGTTTTCTTATTTTTGTTTTTATTTTAAAAAACAAATGAACTAACGATACATAGATTCACATCCAGCACTTTTACTTGAGTAGTAGTTTTTCCAAATCATTTTTTACTCTTGACATTACTTCTTGAACCACTAATTGTGCTTCTGCTTGAGTGATATTATTTCAAAGTAGTGTTAAATACATTTTTGGCTGCTCCACCACCTCTGTAAACTCAGGAGGTCGTCTAATTTTCCTATCGATGGCAGCTTGGACTCATCTCGTTGGGTTTTCGTGTGCTAAATGACTTGGCCTCTTATTACCTTCAGTTCAAAGCAGGTTTCCATTTTGCGTAGAGCTGTTCATAAATCGTTATTTAGTGTGTCAGGGCTGTATTTATCTACAGATATTACTGATCGCTGAATGAGTCCCTCCCTGCGCACATGGACCACTTCATCAAACCGCTGGAAATGTCCAGATCAGGGAATTTCCAAAATCAATGGAAGTGTTTGGGAGTATTGTGAGAAGAAACAAACCAGTCTGACAATTATTCACTGTTTTTCCTAAAGAGATGTTATTGCTTTGTCTGGAATATTTCACAGTATGGCATTAAACCTTTCTATCATCACAGAGACCAAATCAGACCAAGTTACAGGTCAGATCTGTGGAGAGGAGGCGACCCTGCTCACAGTCAGAATGTTGTTTTTCTAGGTATTTTTGAGCTATAAAACCACCTGTAATTGAATAAATGTAAGGTAGAGTTGTTTAATGTCATACTGTGGAACATACCAGGCAGAGCAATGACTTTCTATCGCCATAGAAACAAGCAGGTGATGGATTGTCCACCAGAAAAGTTGTGTGTCTCACCCCAGTACAGATATATTGTAGAAGCAGCTCTTGAGGTCAAAATAAGTCTACCGTGTGTTTCTGCATTTAATTATGAGGCGTTTTATTGTCTAATAATCTGGAAGTGCGCGTTGGCATGCTTGTGTTTGTTTGCTTTAGCAGAGATGTGGTGGAGTAGCCAAGCAGAAGTACAGGGAGGTACAAAGTGGTGTAAGAAATGAGCCAAGTCAGAGAAAAAAGTATTTGGGAAAAGTACTACTCAATTAAGAGTAATTTAGAGACTGTTGGGAGGCAACAACTGATTTATATTTTGAAGTTGATGTAATTTGAAGGACAAAATATTAAATAATGTACAAAATCAGGTGTTTTCAGGTCAGACATGAAAATGAGAAAAAAAACATGAAACACAAATGTTCAAAGTTCAAATCATTTCATATTGTCACATAAAGCTTTTGTCACGTGTAAACTTACTCACAGTGTGAAGATGAACCAAGTAAGTAGTTATTGTTACTTCAGTAAAACTATTACTCAATGAGAAGTAAAAGTATGCTGCTAGAAAAGAACTGAAGTAAATGTAATTATCATATTTATCGGACTGTGTCGCTCCAGAGTATAAGTCCCACCAGCCAAAAAATGTGTAATGAAGAAGAAAATAACATATATAAGTCACATTAGACTATAAGTTGCACTTTTGGAACTGTATTTTATAAAATCAGGGACCAGGAACCGACATTTCCTGTTGAAAGTCAAGTTCTAGTAATAACAATAGAAGAGAGACTAACAGACTTTTAATGTCACATATGAACAGTTCTTCAGATAAATATAACATAAACAACAGAACAGAACAAATTTACCAAACTCTCCATCTCACTCCAAATCACTAAATCCATTCAGTTCTTCATCCTCGGTGTCACTTCTGAGCAACTTGGCGACCTCTGGATGTAAACGGAGCGTCACTTCCTCTTCTGTGTAGCTGTCGTCAGACTCAGCATCAGCTCCAGTTAGAATTATTCCGGCCTTTCTGAATCCCAACAGGATGGTTTAGGTTGTCTTTATAAGTTTGTTTAAATGTTATATTTTCAGTGGTACAGAAGTAATGGTGCGATCGACTGACATGATACAGACAGGACAGAGGCTCTTTCTGGAGGAGACATGTGCAGTAGAGTGAAGTGACAGTGGTACAAGAGTAACAGGAGCAGCAGATACTGACACACAAGATTAAAGAGCCCTCTCAAGGCTTCAGTGTGATCATTTTAATATATACAGTAAGTTGCACCGGAGTATAGGTCACAGGAAACACCCAAACCATGAAAAAAGTGCAACTAATCATCCGAAAAATCAGGTAAGTAAAAAAAATCACAAAATTGACTGGTCTCTGAGTGGTGAAAAGCGTTTTTAATCTGTAGTATCTAGTGTGAGCTGCTTCTACAGTATATCTGTACTCGTTTTGCTCAAATACATGAGACAAAATCAAAAGCTGTGTGGACGCGGGGCCCCCTTGTGGACGCGGGCCCCTCTGCGTGTGCATGTCTCACTCAGAAACAGCCTTCAGACATCCATTACAGGTCTATCATTTATTCTGCGCGTGTGTCTGTTTTGGACTTTTCTATTCCATTTCAATCGCCGCCGTATTGATTTATGAATGACAAACGCGGGCTTGGCGAGGGCCCGGGCGCCTCGGGGAGCGGGGCCCGGTGGACATTATCCGGCTGTGATGGCGGGTCTGGCGGTGATTGGCCCCATGGATCATACGCTGCGAGCCGGAGAGCGCCGTTTGATATGTCCCCGGGCCCCGCTCCTAATGATGACGGGTGGGCGCGGGGGCCGGGCCGCAGCACCCGTGGGAGACGCATAAATCTGGGTGAAGCGCGCGCACCCAACCATGTCCCATCCAACACCGTGACAGGCTTTATATGAGCTCACTCCCAGCTGGGGCTCACGAGGTGCCGCGGAGTTCAGGAAAAGACAACACAACGGAGCGGAGAGAAGAAATGGAATGTTCCGTAGAGAATCTTTAAAGACCGATTTTTAGGATTCTCTCATTTTAGTGGAATTATAATTGTTGTAAATATAAAGTATAGGAAGCAATTTGTGAAGAAAAGTTGAAAAATATGTTGAAAATTACAGGAATTAGAGAAGAGATTTCCAAAACAAATTGATGACATCACACTGGGAGAATTCTGCTCAAAAGTTCTGCACAATTTACACCAAGAGACAATTTTTTTTTGAACACGAATTCAACAAAATAAAGTTGTTTTCTTGTATTTGTATTTGTCAGATAATAATGTTTGCGTAAATTTGAGGAGTTTTGTTAGGTAATAATTTTAGAATTCAAAAACATCACGATTTTAAACCTAAAAAATGGCAAAATTGGGAAAATGAGTGTGACTGTTTTTGCCGAAATCTGAAATATAATGATCTTAACTTACGGTGGTCAGACGTCTCTTTGAGCCCTGTGTCCCCTGTCCCAGCAGATTTATACAAAACCAGTGATTTGTCCCAGTTTTTTACAAGAAATGTCCACTGTGTCCCTATTTTTGGCTAATCTGCTCCTTGCCAACAGCAAAGAAAGGCATAAATTGCCATTTGTTTAACTAAAATACAGAAAACAGTGCTTGAAACTACTATGAGATAGAGTGACTAGAATTTCAAAATAAAAAACTGGGACATTCCTGGTTTGGGGTGTTTGGTAATAATAAAATTGTAAAACGAGTGCGTAATTAAATTATTACCTAGAGACCATCCATGATTAACATGTGAGTCAGTACAGTCACATTTTCTTTGTGTTTTGTCATTTTTAAGCAGCTTTTCTGTATTTTACCTAAACAAATGACAGTTTATGTCTCTCTTTACTGTTGGCATCGATCAGATTGGTCAAAAATAGGGACACTGGACATTTCCTGTATAAAACTGGGACAAATAATTGTTTTTGGAAAATTCTGCTGGGACAGGGGACACAGGGTTCAAAACTGGGACTGTCCCAGGTAAATAAGGACATCTGGTCACCCCTAGCCTGATTCATCAACCGGTTTCACTTTGTGGAAACCGTCTGACCTCGCAGCGTTAGGATTCATTCGCTCGACGGTAGGCGGGTACTTTTTTTATTTAACCAATCGCTCCTATTTGGTTGTGACATATGTAATGCGCCAAATCCTGTAGGAAGAAGGACAATAACATCTTTCCCCTTGATGAAATTCACCAAACATTCTCTTTGTTCTGGCTTTAAATCCTCGATCTGGGGAATTGTTGCCAAAACAGAATGTCTGTCTTCGTTTACATTCATCTCAACGCTTTGTTTACTGTTGTGCTTTTCCACAAAAGGGACACAGACAGGCGCAACGAGTTTGACACCATGGCTTCACAGCTCACAGCTGATTGGCCTGTGAGCGGTCTACAACTTCTGGGGTTCTTGCAAACCGTCTAGTGTATTCTGATTCCTGACCTAGTCACTGGAGAGAAATGAAATTGAGCGGAGGCACTAGGTGGCACCAGCCTGGCTAAGTCACCCCACCATAAGGCAAAAAAAACCCAAACCCAACAGAAGTCCCTCAGATTATAACTGACCCATAAGTGAGTCGAGAAAGGATAAGGTTTTGCACTCTTTTCAGATTTATTTATACCAACCATCTCAACCTGGGTGTGTCCCATTTTTGACTTCTGAAAATCTGAAATATAATGATTTTAACTGTGTTTTGGTAAAATATGAAGTCAAACCTTTCAGAGGCTCTTTAAAGAGAGGCAAATCACCTTATGGATCCAGACCATCCTAATTATTCAGTGTATACAACTTTTAGAGGTCAGATCAGAATGTACCATTGTGGTAGAGCCAATAGCAACTAGCATGCTAACCGCAGTTCATGAGTGAACTCATTTTGGAGGTTCTGAATGAAAAACCCTTGCATGTGTCTCTATCTGCCACACAGGTTGACATGTGACTGTAGTGTGTGTTTTAAAACTGACTCTCATCATACTCAGGTGTTTTTCTGGTCTCCACGGTGACATCTACTGGTGAGTTCTGACACTTGTCTCTGTCTGTTGCAGATCTTTGGAGCGGACGACGTGGTGTGCACTCGGATCTACGTGCGAGCGTAGCACCAGACTCCTCCTCTTCCTCCTCTTTGTGCCATATCCATTCATGTCAGCTGTCTGTTCACTTTTCACATGTGTTGTTGTGGGTGGGGCTGCACAGGATGGCTAAATAATTATTGCAATATCCCTTTAATCTGGATCATTTTCCTTTGTGTTTGTAGCCCAACATAGCCTATGTGTGACTAACATTTAGTACACTTGTTTTTGTGGGGTTTTGTGCAAATAGTTTGTTCTTCATTTAGTCATAAATTTTTGATGGCTTGTCTGGGATCTTCCACAGTATGGCATTAAATTAGGGTGACCAGATGTCCCTATTTACCTGGATCAGTCCCAGTTTTGAGCCCTGTGTCCCCTGTCCCAGCAGATTTATACAAAACCTGTGATTTGTCCCAGTTTTATACAAGAAATGTCCCAGGTGTCCCTATTTTTGACCAATCTGATCTAAACCAGGACTAAAACAGGACTATCATCATTTTTGACTAATCTCCGCCAACAGTAAAGAGGAGCATAAATTGTCATTTCATTTGCTAAAATACAGAAAACGTGTTTGCTTGGGATGTAACTAACAGAAATATTGTGATATCATGTCATCAAAGTTCTTACAATAATATCGTGGACCTTCACAATATATTGAATTACAAGTGTCTTTGCTTAAATGAAGAGTTATGGTACAGCAATAGCTAAAAACTACATAGACCATGATCCTGTGCTCCATTTCAGTGTAGACTACAAGAAGAAATTACAGTTCTAAGCACTTTTAAGTCTTAGTTCTTTGGATTAAGTCTTGTCAAGACATTTTAAGAGGAAAAAGTAGCATTTTAACAGTTTTAGCTGTTTAGTCTCCACAAAATATCGCAATAAATATCATGCCGTGAGATGTATATCGTGAAAATATCGTACTGAGAGATTTGGATATTGTTACATCCCTCATCGTGAGCCTCCCCACCATATCGTGAGCTTTCCCACCATATCGGAATAAATATCGTACCATGACAATATCGTACCGTGAGACTTGGATATCATTACACCCTTAGTATTTGCTAATGATAATAAAACAAACCAAAAAAAATGCAGTGACAGAAGCTTCTCAGATTATGCACAATGTTAGATGCTCTTTTCACTATTTCTTCATACCAATCATCCCAACCCGGGTGTGTCCCAGTTTAGAATTTGGAAAATCTGGTCACCCTACATTAAACTCATCTATCTCCACGTAGAGCTGCAGGTGATGTCAAAGGTTAAAGTTACAGGTCAAGATCTGTGGAGAAACCAGCCTGTTCAGTGTAAGAATGCATGACAAGATGAAGGTGTTATGTTTAGTTTTGTTATTTTTTTGCCTTAAAAACACCAGCAAATTGAATACATGTAAGATAGTCTGATGCCAAACTGTGGAACATTCCAGGCAAACCAGTAAAGTTTTTGTTTTAATTTAACTGAACACAGTGTTATGAGCAGCATCCCAGACTTTTTTCTGTTTGCAATTTTATGAAAGGTTTGACCAGGCTACGATGTGACAGAAATGGATCAGTCTGAAAAATTTCATCCAGATGCCCCATCAGTGGTCCAGTCTGCCAAAATCTACAGAAATCACCGCTGTAGACCTGATCTGAATACTAAGGAAGAGACTCGATACTCAGTACAACGTGTGAGACCACAATAATTATTATAAAAACCCTGTTTATTTAGACAGTAGAATGTGATTTTCCACATTAAATTACAGTACTTTCTTTCCTGTTACCATGTGGTTTCACATCTGTAATAACTGTGGTCCGTGGGCGTAGACTAGTTCATTTGGTTTATGGTTTGGTTTATCTGGAACATTCTAGAGCGATTCAGGAAAGGTTCAATACAAATGACCATCTAGTTTTGATAGTACTTTTAGTATCGAGTAGTGTCAGTAATAGTGTAATTTTCAATACTCTTGGCAACGCTAGTTTAGGGTGACCAGATATTCAAAATTAAGAGCAGTAAACATTGTCCTCTCTCAACTCACACATGCACCAGTATTTGATCTGATGGACTTTTTTTTTTTAACCGTATGCATATTTTCAAGCATGTTTTTTTGTAATTTAGCTGAGAAAGGACAAAATATTGGCTCCTTCGCTGCTGGTGGGTAACAAGTTGGTCAAAAATAGGGATAATTGGGACATTTCTTGTGTAAAACTGGGACAAATCACTGGTTCTGGATAAATAAAATACAGGGCTCAAAACTGGGACTGTCCGGGGTAAATAGGGACATCTGGTCACCCTGCTGTAGTTTGTGTTCAAGTGAAGGCTGCCCAGGAAACCTAAGTGACCTACATGAGCATAGATCTTATCAGCTGACATTAGTGGAGGATATTGTAGTTTTAGTCATAAACATAGAAAACCACTTAAAACATTTGATTAGTGAAAGGACGAGTCTGTGCACTTTTTACTTCTAGTCAAAGTAGAGTTTAATGCCAAACACCAGACTACACTCATGTACAACATCTGAAACATGAACACATACAAACTTTATGTACAGTCGCCCCCTGGAGGTGGCTCTCTGACACTACACGCAGTACAAAAATAAAAGTATGAAACGGCTCCGATTGTCTGTAGCTGGACTCACTGCAGGAAATGTGGAATTTTTGTATGTTTTTTTCCCCCCCCATTCTATCACATTTTCTAAAATTGTCACTTTTAAACATTTCAAAATAAAAGCTTGTTATTTTACATCTGACTCATTATTTCTTGAACATATGCCAATTCAGAAAAAAAATTAAAATAAAAAATCTAACTTCTAAATTCAGTCATTCAATATGTAACTAATCAAATCAACAAGAATTATTGCTTTTTGGTGCTTAAATTGAGCACTGGTAGTTTTGCATCGACCAAGACAGCAAAACTGACCAGTTAAAGGTCCTAAATTACGCAAAATTGACTCTTGTGAGCTTTAATCCACGTTAGAATGTTGCTACGTCATCAAAAACAGACCTGGAGCTGTTTTTGTTTTATTCACATGTTTGAGTAAGACTGTATTTAGTCAGACTACATCTCAAAAACTCAAAACGCTCTATTCCACCTTGTAGATGTTGACCTCAAAACATCACAATTTCTTTTGTTCACTAGAAATCACCAATTCCAGATCTGAACACACATCAGAGCGCTTCCTGTTTTACCACATGACGTCACAAAGTAGAACAGTTTCAAATGTGAGAATAAAAATAACTCCAGGTCTGTTTGTGATGAGGAAGCAACCTAACACAGATCAGAAAATAGTGTAATATGGACCCTTTAAGACCAAAATGTGTGCTACATTCAGTTTGAAGTCATTGCAACGCTTCATTTAAACAGTATGTACTTACACTGGGCAGGAGCTGTTGAAATGTGGGTCATAGACTAAGAAACAGAACTAATAAACCTTTGGTAAACAAAACAAAAAAACAGTTAAAATACTTAATACATCTCTATCTAAAGTCTAAATCTGTCAACGCTGGCTACACAAGACAATTGATAAAAAATCTAGTTATAAACATATGTACAGACGCAGTCATAAGTTATTGGAGAATACACTTGGTTTGATGGGGCATATACAGTGCATCCTAATAGAAAAACATTCACAGGTTTTAAATTGTACAACCCACTTGACGCGTATAGGTCTCCATTTTACGTGAACTGCTTCAAAAAAAGGTCCTACGTTACGGTACACAAAATGGATTCTTGTGAGTTTTCAGTTGTGTTCCCTCCTCAAAAACATACCCAAGTTGTGTTTTGTTTCATTCACACATTTGAGTAATGTTTTATTATTAATCTGGCTACATTTCCAAAACTCAAAATGCTCTGTTCCACTTTGTGATGCTACATTTTCACTTTTGTTCGGTAGAAGTTGGCAATTCCAGGTTGGAAATTACCCAAGTGATTCTAGTGAAGGTGTATGGAGTCTCAAAAATGACATCACAAGGTGGAACTGAGCGTTTTCAGTTTGTGAATGAAACAAAACACAACTCCAGGTCTGTTTGTGATGAGGAAAATAACAGATCAAAATATAATGTAATATAAGCTCTTTAACACCAGCCTGAGGATTAAAATTGTATTGCAGTATTTTCCTGTAGGTCCTACATCATGTATTGTTACGATTTTTGGTTCAAGTCATTTAAAGATTCACTGTGCAATTTTTCTGATGGGCGGTATGCTTGTCTCAATGAAGGTTTAGCTACAGAATGTTCCACAGTATGGCTTTAAACATACCCATCACCAGGCGAAGTTACAAATCCGATCTGTGGAGAAAATACAGTGGATTTTTTTTACCTATAAAAACACAGTTACTGTAATAAAAACAAAAAATATTCATGTTAAATGCCATACTGCGGAATATTCCAGGCACAGCGATTAAATCTCCACGGGAACAAGCAGGTGGAGCGACCTTTACCCCCAAAAGTTACACAGTGCACTTTTAAATAACGTGTTTGGCAGAGGTGAAAAGACTCTGAAAACACAGAAGAGTTGTTGTGTTTTACCACCGGATGATGTCATGAGGTGGAGTCAAGTCAAAGCAACACGATATATAGAACCTTTAAGAAGAAAGAAAGTTTTGTGCGAAATTATTTGTAACTTTGTAAGATTCGAAACATTTTGTAACAACGTTTTTTTGCAAGTGCATTTCCTACCATTTCCCCAGACGGTTTTCGACGTACGCCCGGGTTCGACCACTAAATCTGATCAGTACATTTCCATCAAATCAGTGTATTATTAAAAAGTTGGGACTCGAGAATGGCAGTAACACATGCGGTTGGGCTCGTGGGTGTGGTTGAATGTCTTTAAGTGGCAGGTTGTGTTGGAGCTACGCCGGGTCCGGGGACTATAGCGTTTTGTAGGTCACCCGGTACTTGTTGACGTTGATGTAATGCAGGACTTCGGGGCACAGCGCGGTGGAGCAGGGCATCAGCTCCTCCTGGCCCTCCCCCATCAGCCACCTGTGCGTGTGGGCCGCCATGTCGCTGGTCACGTGATCCTGGGCCCACGCGTCCAGCCACGTGTGGAAGCGTCTGTGCAGGCGAGTGTGGACGCGCTGGTGAGACTGGAACAGAGAGACAGACTCGTGTCACTCGAACGGTTTGTGTTCTCGGAGTGTACAATAATACAGAAACACACGTGTAATGCTTGTAAAACAAGACAATTTAAAAATTATATACATTTATAATACAACATTACTACCGTATTTTCCACACTATTAGGCGCACTGTCATTGAATGGTCTATTTTTAAACTTTTTTCACAAATAATCCGCACCGGCCTATAAACGAAACACAACAGTTGGATGGGTCAGTGGTTTTGTTTGTTTGTGGCGTTCACGGTGACTCTGGGCTTTGTTCAGTTGTGGCGTGTAGGGAGGGTGCTGTCTGGGACCGCTGGATTGTCGGCGTGTTCGCAGTGACTCAGTTGTTCAGTTGTGTCTAGAAGTGGAGCATTGCACTCGCTTTTTCAGTTCGTTCCTCGTCGGCGTGGAGTGATGAGTGTGTCTGCGGGTGCGTTTCGCTGCGCGGTCAATGTCTGCTCCGTGTGTGTTTGTGTGTTCTGCGGGTGGTGCGGCTTTGTAGTTTACTGAAGTCGTGTTGGGACACCCGAGTGGATTTGTGTATAGGGCGCTCTGGATTGCAGGGCCCACAGTCAATTTTTTATGGGGTTGGAGGCTTAAGAGCGCGACCTATAGAGCGGGACTGAAAATTCTGTCCTGCGCGGACCTCTAATTGTCGTCTCTTTTAAACAACTGGAAATAATCACAATAGCCCAACAATAACTTAACAGAACGCTGTAGTTGTGTAAAAGAGATACTAAAATTTCATGACTTTTGCAGGCGTGGAAAATGACATTTTCAATTTTCATTACTTTTCCAGGGTTTCCATGACCGTGGGAACCCTGTAGGTAAATTTACAGCGTTCTGGTCAAAAAGGTTTAAAAACAAGTGGCCTAGTCTAATGGCTTCTGCAGGGGTGGAGTGTGGATACCTGTTACTCTGAGCACTCAAAACTGCAGAGTGTTTCTATCCATTAAGACTATATCAGAAGGATGGCACCTAATGCAATGTCCTCTACACTCTGAGACACCTCAGCTATAGAGAACAAAAGCTGCAAAACTGAGTGTGAGTGTTCATGATTGGGTGCTCACCTGGTGGGCCCGGGTGAGGGCCGTGTGCCGGTACATGTAGTCCTCCGACTTGCACACGTACACCATCTTGTATGAGTTGAGTTTGAACATGCACTGCCTCTTGAGCTCACTGTCCTCTCGAGGGGGCCGGTCCTGCTGTAGCTGCTCCCATCCGCGCTGGCACTTACGGATCTGACGGAGGTTTCTGCAAAATCCAAACCCAAAAATCAGTCCACACGTTCACCATGATTCAAGTTCTAAAATATCTTTATAGTACAACCAATGCACAGATATTTGAGAGGCTGTCCCTTTAAAGTAAGTTAACCCCATGCATTGCACTCACCAGGTAACAGAATTAGAAACGTGGCAATTCATTCGTGGGATTTGTGCATCTACAAGAGCAGCAGAGGAGGCAGTCGGAACATTTTTGTACAGTGCACTACCGTTGCATAGACATTCAAATGTGCAAGAGAAAATTCACACCGGATTTACGCTAATTAATGTTTGGTTTTAAAATAAACTTGTGCGTCACCCCACCAGTATTAGAATGTGAGCAGCATACTTACCCCGCTGTGGTGAGGTGAGGGAGGACTGAAACCATCAAGCATATTTTGGGCACTTCAAAACATAACAGGCCAATTGTGAGAGATAGAACACAAGCTCCTACAGGGAAGAGTCACATTGTATCTGCTATAATCAGAGGTGGGTAGATATGGGTACTTTTATTCAAGGTAGTTATTTTAAAAGTTTATTTTTTCACACCATACTTTACTTGTACTTGAGTAAGTCTCGAAGAATCACTGCTTTAACTTCAGTAAAGGGGTACTCGTATTTACTATATTTACTGTATAGTAATAAAAGTGTCTAAACATAGTAAGATTCTTAGGTATTCAAACTTAAAATCCACAAATTATTTGAAGATTGTATGTTTTAGAGAAGTACAGGTATTGGGTACTGGCTCTGATCCATTGGGCCTGTACACTGATATAACGACATTATTTCATTATTTATACAAAGCTGGATTGGCAGATACCAACTGGTTTGAAAAAGGTAATACAATCCCAACACTGGGTTGCTGAGTTTTACCTCATTCTCAGTAAATGGACCTGCCATGCCTCATGTGAAAGGCATTGGGAAATCGAGAATAATTATGAAACAATTTTCCTCCTGACTTTTTAACTTGCAAAGCAGAGTTATTGTACAACTGCAATTTTTCTTTACAAATGTAACTGAAGGCAGTTTACAATGTGTTAAATATAACATATGATAAAAATGAGAATGTGAAGAGCTTCCCCTGTTTGAAACACTGGCAGTTCTGCTCTGACTTTTACTCTGATTCAAATCAGAACTGTCCAGTGTGTGCAAACAAAATGTAGACAATATAGTACTGAAACTAACACTGGATTGATGCATGCACATTAAATCAAACTGATACATTTACTCAGGAAAAAGTTCAGTAGGTGAAACTACAGACTGCTGAGTATTAGACTGTCAACATTGTACTTCTACTCGAGTAGTAGTTCTTTTACTTGAGTACATTTCTGACTGCTCTACCCACCTCTGTTTATAATAACAATAACACCTATAAAGGAATAAATTAGCCAGCAGGTCATGTGACGTATTCAACTGCATGGTGAGAATAAAAAGTGAGTGAACTTTCCAATGAGTCAGTCCATACCAGATTTATGCAATGGGTTCAATGGGTCGAAAAAACTCAAATAGTCGGTTTTACAATGCACTGTGAAATGTGATCATGGACAGCCATCTCAAAACACAAAACAAATACACTAAACAAATGGTGCCACATTAAAAACCCAGGAAGAAAAACACCACATGTACAATCTGACAAACCATTTTATTTACCAACCCTACGCCTGTGTACAACCCATACGGCCAAGTAACGCCTTTAAAAATAGATCATATATTTGGAGAAATGTTGGCAGCAGAGGGTGCTTAACACATCTGGATAGGTGCACAAGTCACAATGGCACAGGTAGAAATGAGTACAAAAGTCAACATGTTCCTGGTTCAGTAAAGGTAAAATAAAAAGGAAAGTTAAGGGTCATTCCAGGTGAAATCAGCAGAGGATTTCAAGAGATTAAACAGCAATTTAAGAGCCAAATAGTGGATGTTGTAGATATTGTGTCTGTCGGCGCAGTGTGCAGATGAGCGTGATCTGATTACGGTCTTGTTATTGAAAGTACAACAGCGTGTCAACATCCACATACTGAGCCTTATACTAAAAATAGAACTCTCAAGCACTAAAAAGGAAGGAAGAAGGAAGATAATTTGTTCCATTTGATTTTGAATTTTAAATACCACGGAATTCTCATCATATTTTATTCAAAATATGAAGTATACTTTTTCAACAGGTTTCAAATTCAGAATAAAAATTTCACCTTAAATATTCAGCATTCAGATATTTTTAAACCCCCACATTCAACAGTCAAAATTCAGAGAGTAAAATTCACAGTGAAAATTTTCACAGCAAAGATCCAAGATACCAAGGCAAAAGCAATCGATCCTGTATGAGTGAGGAGGACAGAGGCTGTTTCCTATTGGCCGATCTCATCTGTGGGCGGAGTTTACACTTAACAAATCAAAGAGATTCTGAATTCTGACCAATCAGATCGCTTCACTGCACCATTTCCTGCTTGTTACCAAGTTAGATCGAATCACTTGGGATTGATTCCTTAGGCCTTGGCATTTTGGAATTTGCTGTGAATTTTACACTGAATTTTGACTGTTGAATTTGGGCTTGAAAATATTTGTGCTGAATTTTTAAAAGGTGATTTTTTTTATATAGACTTTTAACATAATAATATTTTTTCACTTTGAAAATGTACACATATTCCATTAACTGACATTCAGAATAAAAATCATTCAAACATGTTTTTTCAGAGTTAAAAAATTCTAAAGTGAGAAATGGCATTTTCATTTCAAAATCTAATAAAACTAGTTATCTTCCATATTACAGTTGAGTTCAGAATGGATTCTGCAGACAAATCCGCAACAAAACTGAAATAAATATGAGATCATCAGTTCAGATATCAGTCTTCTCTTATATAACACTTATATCCTATAACACTGTGTGCTCAGAACTGAATAGTGATTTGAATATTTGGAAAAAATGCAAGTTCAGATACAATTAGATGGGCCTGTAATAATAAATGACAATATTAACTTGATTGTTCAGAACAGTATTGATGGAACAATATTTTTAGGCTTTTTATTCTTGATCTGAACATTATCACACACAGAACATTGTCAATTAAGATGCAGAGGGTTGAATAGTTTATTAAAATTAGCTGGATTAGATATCAATTCCATGATATTGGTTAAGCCGGTATCCTGGTTGGGCCTCTAAATGGATGTAATGCAGCTTGATTTTTGACCAGAACTGATTTTTTATTTTATTTTTTTTTATTCATACAAACCTGTTCAGTATTTATTTGCAGGATAAATCAGTTCATAAGACAATTGGATCTCTTGTGTAATAAATTAACTGTTTTGTGGGGGGCAGGTACTTAAATAAATCGATAATGGTACTGGGATTTTCCTGCTTTAGTGTTTGATTCATTGACATAAAACAATTTCAGTATTGTTTTTTTTTTTCTAAAAGGTATAGAATTTGATTTGATTTTTTTTTTCCGAATATTTGCAATCCGATTTCCAATGTGTGAAACTAGATTCCACCAACTGTGCAGTTTGCAAGACCATTAAAAAGCTCGTTGACAAATACAAGTGTTTGTGGTCTACACCATTAAAAATCTTGTCACTGAAGATAAAAGTAAAATAGATCAAACAAAACCGTTTCCTCTGTTGATTCCACATTGAATGATAATTGTAATTTATTTGCTCAAACCCAGAACAGACCATAAGAACATTGACATAATATTCCAACCCATTTGTTTTGGTTACAACAGAAACAATGCATTCAGAGCCCACACGGTCACGTGACATTTGATCTCTTTTAAAATGTGACCACCACAATAAATAAAGTCTTCTCACATAAATAAATGGATTCCATAAAAAGTGAGCTGAGTAAAAAGTGCAGTTGAGTGTGAGGTCTAAGCTACGACAGGCAGCTCACAGCTTTAATGCCACTGGTCCTACATGAGGCTCTACATAAACATGGTGTGGGCCCTACGCGCATGTGCTGAGGGCCCTACACGCATGTGATTCTACAGGAAAGTGGCAGTTTGTGAGCTCCAAGCAGCAGACTATAGCCACATATTGGCCCTACACACAGGCCCTAGAGCAGCAGGGGGCAGCAGAGTCCTCACCTGGGCAGGAACACAGGTTTGTGGGCCAGGTGTTCTCTGAGCTCTGGAGAGGCAGAGTCTGTGTTGAGGTACCGATCCACATAGTCCGACCACCTCTGCAGACAAACACACACACGCGTACACACCCACGCACACGTTAGTAAAATGTCACACTTGAACCCGCAGGCCAGTGCAACATGAAAAACTGTGCCTTGACAGTGAGTGCACATAACTGGCCATACACCAAAATATTACTCATTTTCTTACATTTGAAAACTGTAAATTAACAGGTCAAACAGTGGAAATTACTCAAATAAACAATATTTGAATGATAAAATTATAAGAGGCATCAATTTAGTTTTGTATTGGATTCCAGAGTACAATCATTTGAGAAGTCTTTTATATCTTTAATGTAGAAAGGGAGATGTAGTGCATACCTCTGCTTCAGCAGGCTCATCTGAGTTGTCCTCCTCTGTGTCCAGTAGCTCAATGCCCAGACTCACAGCTCCTGGGCCCTTCACAAACATCAGCTGAAACAGACATATAGGGGTTAAACAGGCCCTTTGTCTATCTGCACAACCCCACACACACACACACACACACACGCACGCACGCACGCACAAACACACACGCGCAAACACACACGCGCACACACACACACACACAAACACAGGGTTTTCCGACTGTACCTTGAAGCAGTTCTCTTCAGCTGTGAGCTGCTCAGCCTTGCGCTGGTATCCTGCCTCTGCTGTACCGCGGGAGGCCTGGGAGCACAGAGCGCCCCCTGTGGCTTTGGAGGTGCTCTCACTGAGGTAGAGGTCTGTCACTCGTATGGACACATCCTCACTGACCAGGTGCTGGAGCTGAGAGCACAGATCAGTGTGTAATTATGTGTGCAATTACAACAAATACTCCTTGTGTTGCAGAAGTTACACATAACATGGTGCTGCGAATTAGCCTAGGCTATAAACACTGATATCTGCATCAGATCAGTGCAATGTTAATCTATGTTTGTTGTGTCTATTCAAATAAACAAACTTAAGTAAATGATTCTGAATTTTCCAAAACGCATGCTCATATTATATGATCCATCACTTAGTCTTCCCTCTGTACATGCATAATAAATGGGTGATTTGTCACATAACAGTGTAGTCATGTGATAGTGGAGCCATGTGGCTCCAATGAAATACTATCAGTATGCACCTGTGAAGTTGATGTGCCCTGATGAAGACTCGTACGAACTCGTATGAACACCTCGTACATGAGCACAATACTGTACTGTAACTGTACTGACCTGTCGGACGATGCTTTGGATGAGCTTGTCCATGGTGAAGGCTACGTAGGCGTGGATGGTGAACATCTCCCTCAGAGTGTCCTCGTACTGGGCTGGCTCCATGTTCCCATCTAGAAGATTCCTCACCATCTCCAGGAAGACTGAATAGTAGTCCTCCACCTCCACGTCCACTGAGCAGACAACACACAGGGGTCTCACACTGCCTTCTCTTATATCCCCCATTATGTAAAATCCAGTTGGAATTGAACCACACTAAATCTGCAATTAGTATAACTCCAGTGTAAATCCATTAGCAAAATAATTGTTAGCGACCGCCCAGATTCAGTTTTAAAGAATTTAAGTCTAATTCCAAAATAAACATTTTAAATACAGGTGTCAAAAATGTGGGACCCCCTGATTCAGAGCATAACCAATAGGGGCAGTAGGATGGTAAAAGTAGAGGACAGATATATGTGTATTTGGGCATAAAGCTGAATTAAACAAAGAAAAGCTTAACATGGGTCATATAATATGACTGGGAACATCTGGTAAACATGTGCTCTTTTCACACTCACTGGGCTCCTTCATCTTGAGCTGGATGGCAGGGTTGTCCTTCTTGTCCTTCTTGTTGCCGTGGGCGTCCTTGTCCCACTCCCTCTCGCGGGTCTCCTCTTCGATCTGCTTTTCCGCCTGGCTGTAGATGCGCAGAAGGCGGGTGCAGAGGATGTGGTGGAGGCGGAGGAAGGTGTACCAGTAGTTATTGACGTAGAAGAGGTTGTAGGCGTCCTCTGTACCCTTCAGCTTGTGCGCGGCAGAGTTGCTGAACAGCAGTTTGGACTTTGGCGGCCCGCTGGCTGGGAGACCATTGGGCTTCTTGGCTGCGTCCTAGTGGTGAGTCATGGACACAAAGGAATTATATTTTTCATCATCTCGACAATGTATTTTTGCAGTGCATCTGAATTATAAATGTCTTTTCTATCTTCTATAACAGACTTCTGAGCATTTCTGCTGTTACTGGGCTTTGTTTGAAAATGATGTTATTCACATTTTGCACAATGCAGGAGAGGCATTTCTGGCCAAATTAAATTATGTTGTGTATTATTACTTATAATTAAACACATTATTAGTAGGTAGACAAATGTCAAAACTCAATGCTCAAGGAAGAAGTTGTTTATACAGCGAGAAAAAAACCATTACAACCTTGGAAATAGAAAAAACATACTTTGGAACATTCTCCCTGGACATAGATGTGTTTTATGCCCTAATATGTTATAGCCAAAGGAACAATATTCCATGAAAACCAACAGGAGTATGAGCGCATTTATTTTTGGCTATTTTTTGACTAAAGGGTTACACAGTGAGGCTTAAAGTGTAACTAAATAATACGGTGTTTTAACAGCATTGTCTACTGTTCCTAGTTATTTTATTTTTGCAACTTCAGTGCAAACTAGGTCAATTTGCAGCTTTCTGGGCTAAATCCAATCTTGTGTTGCCTTCAGCGGCGTCTGCATTTCAAGTACTATGTGACATCACACAGGAAAGCTAGGTGTTTCTGATACAAACACTGGGCTGCAGGGATGAAGTTTGAAGTGTGAATACCTGGTCAATCTATCACACTGTTCCTCATATGTCCAGACTAGGGATGGGCATGATTAGTCGATTAACTGATCATTAAGAATTTGATCGATTACGTTCATTTTAATCGACAAACTGAATATAGGTTGCTGTGCGTAGCGTAGGGTGACCAAACGGGCCCGTACATGTAGCTCTCTGCACTCAGAAGGAGCAGAGACAAACAGTCTGCAACGTACCGAAGCGCAAATGCGTATTTAACGATGATTTGTACAAGAAATTTACCGCTTTCTGTTCCGGTCGGGACAAGTGGGGTGCCATGTGCACAGTGTACAAAGCAGCACATATGTTTCGGTGTCCAGTGGGGAAAAAAAGATCACCAGGACACCGAAAATATGAAAAAGTTTTGCGAGAGTAGCACAATGTCGATGACGAGTCCCCACCTCGTCACAAACGCAAATATGGTCACACTAACCTGTATTCCACTGAGTCGTGCCGCATCAGTGCACAAGAGCTTTTTTCTGCTTAGTTTATGCAAATTAGCGATGCGGTTTTAAGTTTAGTTTCTGTGAGACTTGCGCAAAGCTGCATTAAACACATTATAATGTGGCTCTAGAGTGGTTACGGTCTACATGTCGTAAAGTTGAGTTTATTTATGCAGATTAGTAGTGCAGATAGTAATAATGATGATAATTTCAATATAAAAATGTTAATGATTCATCGATAATCGATCGTTAATTCACCCGACGATCGATTAAGAAAATTTAATTGAATGCTCATCCTTAGTCCAGACCACTTTTTATGAACTTTTGTAAATCCCAATTTGACTAATAAATAAAAACAACTGATTAACTAAACATAGACAAATACTACACATTCTCGTCCTACTGTCCCACCTCTGTTGCGTCTGGCTCCTGGTCGTCGTCCTCCTCTGCGTCGGACAGCTCGCCGCGTCGGGAGAACAACAGGTCTGGGATGAAGTGCTGGATGATCTGTTTGATCTTGCACTTGTCCTCCTTCTGGATGCCCACCTGCCTCTTCACGTGGTGGATGATGAGAGCGGCGGCGTCCTCCAGAATCTGACTGTCCTCGTAGCTCAGGGTCATGTGGGAACCGCTAGGGGGCGCCGTGGACGTGTCGTCTGAGGATCGCTCCTGGCGCTGAAACAGACAGGAAAAAGGAATGTTGAAAGTGCCCATATTACACTATTTTCTGATCTATGTTATAATGTTTGGTCATCACAAACATACTAGGGGTTGTGTTTTATTTCCTTTATGCATGTTTAACACAATCCTGCATATTTAGGCTGAGTTCTTCTCTCAAAAAAACAAAACAAAAAACAGTCAGATCCACCTTGTGATGTCATGTGGTAATCCAAGAAGTGCTCCACTGTGTTTTTAAACTCCACACTAGAATCACTTGGATGATGTCAGCTTTGGAAATGACATTCTGAAACAGCTAGCTTTTACCTTAAGTTCAGTAAACTTGAAAATAACCACTACATGACATCACAAGGTGGAACAAAGCATTTTGATATTTGGTGATGTAGGCGGACTAATAAACCAGAATTAATTAAACATGTGAATGAAACAAAACATGATTCTGGGTATGTTTTTGAAGAGGTAAAAGCATTATAACAAGCTCACGACAATCCATTTTGTATAATATAGGACGTATAAAGTTGAACTAAACACTAAATCACTAAATCAAATTTTCACTACCAAGCTGTGTATACAATATGTTGTTTTAATAGTGTTATCTACTGTTACATTCTACAACTCAGACCAGTGCAGAGTTGTGGTGATGCTTAAGGCAACAATAACTAGCATGATAACATTTACTGTTTATTGGACAATAGAATTAGATGAAGATAGTACCCAGCAGACTTCGCGAGCTGCTTCCTGAATAAATAAGACACATTTTTTGCTGAAATACAAAAGCAAATGTTTCAAACAAACTACTGCCAATTGGTCTGACCGTCTTGTTGCCATCAAAATTACTGATGACATGCCGCTGATACACTGATGCTTTCTACAAAGAGAAATTTAAGTCCTAAAATTACCAAAACAAAACTTGAAGTGGGTTTGACACAGACAAGGGTATGTTTTGAGATTGAAAACATCCCAAATATATTCACAGTTTCAGCCCAAAATATAAGGAAAACACATCCTAAATGCAGCCGACAGAAGGCTTACCTCGTCGTAGAGCATCTCGATCTCACTGAGCAGCGACTTGGACCGGAGCACTTTGGTGTCGTTCTGTTTGAAGTTGATGCCCTGATGATCCAGAGACTTGAGGTAATACTTCTCATTCTGCTCCCTCCACACTTTGTTAAAACCTCTCTGAGCTTCTCTCCATTCCTCCTCTTTCATTTTCAACCTGTGAAGAGCAAACAGCGTTAAACTTTGTTAAGCTATGGGCAAGAAAGGATTAAAAAAAGAGCAGAGAAGACTAGGTTTGAGTATAGGCGATATACCTGATTTTTACCATCTTAAAAAAACGAAACACAGTTCATTTTACATTTCAGTGGTCCAACGTATTCCTCGTGTTCCTAAATGTGAATTATTCAGGTTGATGAGTTTATAAAAGCTTTTTACAACTTTCAAAGGCAGACTTGATTTTGTCATCACAGTAATGCTAACAACAACTAGCATGCTAACAGACCACTGTTTGCTGTCTGCCTGTGGTGGGCTATTTTTAAAGACAAGCTGCTTTTACAATATATGTGCAATGGGGCAAAAGGTATACAGTAGAAATGCTTTAAAATGAGTTTTTAGAGCATTCTCATATGTTAGTTTTCATAATTCTCAAACAAATAAGTGATAAGTTTATTTTGACTGAATGGATGTATTTTGAAATCATTTGTATACATTTTTTTCTCATGGCAAGATTCAAATATCTACATTCTAGCATTAGTTCATGAAATATTAAATGTGTCCTCTGGTGTATAGTACCTCTTGAGCACTATGGGCACACAGACAGCAGGGTTCCTCTTGAGTCCGTCGATGATGTCATGAGCCTTGTCTCCGTATATCCTGTGAATGGCCTTTCTGTGGATGGTGTCCGAGGAGCCGCCCAGGCTGTTGTCCAGTCTGAAGCGCACCTGCTCCTCAGCGGGCATCCGGGACAGTTTGCGCTGTACAGTCTCCAGCACGCGGATGGTGGACAGGTTAGTCTCCAGAACTACGTCCAGCTAAACATACACAAACACTTTTAGGGATCATGAAGAGACACTTGAAAAGGGAATAGAAGGTAATGATTGTGATGTGCTTCTATAAGTGTTACAGTTATCAGTAAATCTGTTAAATATGTTTACTTCATATCCAAGTACAGAGGGTGTAAAGTAAATAAGCATATTATATGAATACACAGCTAGAATAAAGATGTTGCTCCTTGCCTCAAAGCGCTCGTCTTCACATCTGTAAATGTGCTCCTCATACTGGGTCTTCTTAGAGGACACAAAGGTGGAGTCCTCAGACCAGGAGGGGAATGACACCCACGTATCATTCAAAACCTGCAACAAAAGAAGCAGTGAACAAGCAGCTTTATAGACTCTCATGGCATGTTTATGCTTGTGGGTTAGTTGAAGGAGTTTGAGAGCGTACCTCTCTGCAGAGCGGCGTCCTCCCAGTACACTTGGGCTGCTGGTAGCTCTTGGGCAGGGCTCTGTAGCTGGAGCCAAGTCTCTTACAGGAGGCGTAGTCAATCTCCATGGCGATGCCCTCTGTGCCGCGCTCCTTTGGCAGACTCTCGGCGTGGCTTGACTCGCTGTGCATGGACTCTCTGTAGCCCAGGAAGTTCTTGAACCACGAAAAAAGTTCAGGGAATTTTCTGAAAATGTGTAAAAAAAAAAATTTAATTAAATTAAATTAGATCATCTGTGCATTCTAGACTAGAAAAGCAGATTTAACATTATATTCTGATATTATAGTATCTTGCAGTTTAAAGGTTAAAATAATTTTGAGAAGTTATGTTATGTTAATTCACTAAAACAGGATTATTGTAACCTGAGTACTGCCCACCCCACATTTTCTTGAGAAACTTTTTACAGAAGTAATTATTTTCAGTATATTTTTCTAGCAGCACACTTTTACTCCTATTCAGTTTCTTATTAAAGTAACAACAGTACTCCGATTTAAGTACAAATTTGGGTTACCCATCTCACTGAGTTTTACGTGTAACTGTTTTTGGAGGGGTGCTATAACCAGATTTCTGAAAACTTGCATGCAATCAGAGCATGCGATGTGGAAACAACATGCTTGATGAGGTTAAGTGACCGCTGTAAACCTCATGGCAGCACAGCCCTTACCCCAAGAACGGGATGACCAGCTGGACCAATTCAGCTCGAGAAATCACTTCCTGATTGAAGATGTGCAGACACCTCAGGAAGTTGTCGTAAGCCTCTGGACTCCTGAGGGCCTTCCTGACCTGTGTCAACAATACATTTTTACAGAAAATATGTTATTGCGATATATTTGCATTGCATTCACTCCATTTTGCAATTTTGCTTTTCTTATCAAGCCTTAAAGAAAATAAATGAAATTACTTAAAATTGCACTTTCACAATATAGTCCTCATGTAGCCTTGTTTCATACATTGCTTGGTCTAAAAAATGCCCCAATACTGGTATTGAAAATTTTATGGATTGTGTATTGTTTCCTTATCTTCTGAATATGATTCAATACTCCAATTAGCCATTTTTTAAGTGAAATGATTTGATTTTGAAGCCTAGATCCTACAGAATTCTGCAACCAAGTTTGTTTTACATCATCTGGCTGTTATAAAGTTACTATAATGGGGGTACAAATAAAATGATTTGCATATTATCTTTTGAAAGCTAGTAGCTAGTAGTTACTTTAAAGAAAGTAACCTGTTATTGAGTATTAGTAGATACTCAAAGCCCATATATCGATATCAGAACTGATAAAGATGGATTGTGTATCTGTGCTTTTTATTTGATAATTGTTTTTATTTGATTCAATTGCACTTACTGTCTCACAAATGTTACTAAAATGCCAAGAGATTACAATATTCCACATTTATCGGATAACGCTTTTTTTGTTGTAACACAAACCAAAACCAAACTTACCTTTTCAAAGAACATTGTTTCAGTGCTTGTGCTGTGCTTGCCAATTTCACCAATCCCATGGTCCTTCCCCATTATTTTTGGTTTCTTCTGTGGAAGAAATGCAAGTTTATACATTATAAAGAGCAGACAATACACAGTACAGTCAATAATGTCAGAATGATGAGACTTGTGTACCTTGATGGGAGGTGTGAGGGGCAGTCCTGAAGGCCTCCTCAGGGGAAGCCCATTCTGACTGAGCCTCTGCTTGGTGTTGAGGAGCGGTCTCTTCACTGTGGCTCCATGATCATTACGAACTGAATCCACCCGGTCTGGTGTCGGTTTACCCAGCAGCTGAAAAGATACATTTTGGTAGAAGTTCATTAAAACTTCACTAAAATAGACTTCAGTCTTTCACTGAAATTCAAAAGCTTTTAATTTGCCCAAAATATGATACATACTTTTCTCTACAAGTGACAAGTTGATAATATTAAACAATTTGAATATTTCTTGCACCACTCCTTCAGATATGACTTAGCTGAAAGATTTTTTCATCTAACAGTCTGATTTGAGTCACATTTATGGCCACTATGTGTAAGTTGTGTCTTACTTCCCCATCTTAAGCGATGGTCTACAAGCTGGTCACAAGATCTAACCAGCTCTCTCTGCAGACATGACTATTGACATTGCAGTATGTGGGTGAAACTAACCAAATATTGTAACCAAGCACATGTGAAATCAGTATGGCAATATGACAAAAAACAAAAACAACAAATATATGCTGTTACTAACACATCATAACATGAGATTGGAAAGTATGAAATGACCTATTGCCCTAACAAACCCCAGCCAAACCTGAATGTGTGGGACATGGACTTACAGTGAATAATTCATGCAAAAAATGAAATAATGTACTCACCATTGAATTATTAGCATCAGGGAGGAACTGTCCAAACTCTGAGAGCAGATCTTCTTGGTTTTTGAAAAGCCTGGCCACCTGGGTGTAGACCTCCTGCTCTGTCAGCACTGGGGTGTAGCTCCCTCCGGCCTCCTTAGCATTGCGCTGCTCCTTCTGCCACATTGAGGTCAACAGTCAGAACAATTAAAACCACAACAATAAAACCAAAAGGATACCTGGTTGGTGAAGAGGATTTTTTTTCTTAATAAATAACCTTTACTTTGCATGTAATAATGGTAAAATTCAAGTAACAAATACACAACTTCGTCAAATTATGAGTACATGTTACTCCGCAGAAAGGGGTAAAGGTTTGCCTCATTCTTCAGTAAAGTTACTTGATTAACATAAGACAATAAGTTTGCTTTTTCCCCCCCGAGAAACCTTTACATGTTACATTTTACAGTGTTTGTCTCTGACGTCATGACATTTCATAGAGCTCATAATTTTGAAAGCACAGGAGTATGGACGTGGTGCAGCTGAATAATGCACAAAATTGTAATGCAACTTTGAGTGTCTGGAGAAGCACCATAAAATACTTGACACATAAAATAATCATCACTGACGTGAAAAGGAGCGCAGGTGCAAGAACAACATAGAATATGTAGTTAAATGTCAAAGCAGATGATGGTTGTTACAGAAATATTAAGTATCTGTTCACATGCACACAGTACAAGTACAAGGTCTATCTCTATAAGCACAAGCAATGATTTTTTTTCTTCACAATATCATAAACTAATCTGAAACGCACCACTGTTGTCAGAAGTAATGCCATCAGATTACCATGGCAACGGTGTGCACTCCATCTTAAAAGGTACGATATGGAACTTTTCTGGAGGAGGGCCCGCAACATGCTTACTATGTCACTATGGAGATGTTATTGCTTTACCTAGAACATTCCAAAATCTCTAAGGGAGACCAGCAGATCAACGGAAAGGCGAGCTTGCCCACAGTAAGATTTTGGTAATGAATTAGCAAAAATGTTTAAAAATTTGAATTGTAATCGAATACATGCAATCGATCGATATTTTTATTTTCAAACTGTGGAACGTTTCAGGTAAAATAACATCTTCAAGGAGACAAGCGGGTGCCAGCCTCCACTCCCACCAGAAAAGTTACACAGTGACAATTGCCTCTTTATACAAAAATGGATAAATGCCTCAGTATGGGATAATGACATCAAATAGTGGAAAACAACTCATTACCTGGTACGTGTGTAAGATTTCCAGAAAGGCTTTGTAGATGTCTGGCTGTCCCTGGAAGCGGTTCTTGATCTTGTTGACATAGTTGATGGCGTGGTTGAACTCCACAGGCTGGTTGTTCTGGGGCGGTGGTCCGCTGGATGGGGTGCTGCTCACAGGGGTGTGGCACTGGGCTGGAGGGGAGCGTGGGGAGGCGTATGATGGGTTGGACGGGTTGGGCTGGGTGGTGGGTGTGTGGGCCGGAGACTGCAAAGGCTGGACAGATGGGAGTTGGGAAATGTTCGTGTAAATGCAGTGAGATTTATGTTTGTGGTTAAAAGTACACATTTATTTTAGTGTGAAGGTTGTAAGTCATAGATATTGGGATTTCAAGTTCAAAAGCAAATAGTCACTGAATAAACATTAAGTAATGGGTAATAGCTACTTGTAGTTGTGTAGTGTTATTTTAATATTATTATGCCCTTTTTCAGTTTAAATTTTTAATCAAATTTAATACAAATTTTCTGTACCATTTGTAAGCATTTGGAGTCAGGTTATGTTTAATAAAAATGTTTTAGATTCTACTCTTTGAATGAACTCAAAAATTTCAAAATCCTAAACAATGACATTTTTATCATTCCAATGTGACCTTCTCTCACTGCTACCAAATTATATTTAAGGTGGAACTAATTACTAAACGTACTTTTTCTCCAGGTAATTGAAATCTGGCTCATGCCACATTGATATGTGTCACTCTGAATTCAGTTTTATACATTATGACTGTGGTCACTGATTTGGAGAAGCGTCACAACACCGGAACTTTTGTTACATCCAGCTGAGAGAAAAGCACAAATATCTTCCGTGTCCACAAATACACAAAACGCTCACACATTTTTCACAAACTAAATAGTTAGTATTGACACTGAAATAGTCTGAAGTACATCTGTCTACGTCACAATGTTTATTTTGGTTTGTTTGGGCGCTTAGCCTTCGGCTTCTGTACACACTTCAATGTTGCTCTGTGATTGGCTGCCCACTACCTGTCAAGCCCTGTCGCATCAGTTGGGGCCAAGACTCTCGTGAGTTTGTGAACTCATGAATATCGTGAGAATCCATGTTTCTGTACAAGGTTAAGTAAACTGTATGGTGTCTGAATAGCAATAGAACAATAGCTTTTGTTCCTAATCATTTTTTGGCAATTTTAGTGCTAACTAGGTATATGTGCAGCTTTCTTGTCCAAAACAAACAAAAAAAATGTGTGTGTTGTCTGCAGCAGCCACTGTAATTTCAAGTACTATCTGACATCACACAAGACTGTCCGTATTAAAGACAGGCTTTTAAGATTACAAACGGGCGGAGCAGAGTTAGGGGGGTTAGTGTGGATATCTGTTAGACCAATCACACTGTTCCTCATATGTCCACACCTCACCCCTCCTCTTCCCTCACTGTCCCATTTAGTCCTTCAGGTACCACACAGTTTGGTAGCTCTATTTAAAATGTGGTTGTAGGAGTTAAGTGTTTTGTCTCATTTTAAGATCTTACATTTAAAATTTTTTGTTTGTTGTTTTGTTTTGTCAAAATAGCAATACTTATTTAGAAGTGAAATACTCAATAGTGGACTGAAATCCGTGTATCATTCGTTTTTCAATATAAAACCAAAAATAAGAAAACGAAAAAACAACAGTTTTCTTCGCTATTTGTCTCCAAAACCAAAATGAAAAAACGGATAACGATTCGTTTTTTCAGTTTTCGATTTTGTGTTTAAATGAAGAATGGAAAAAACGGATAACGGCCGTTTCCCGTTTACGTGACTTCCGTGACTGCGATGCCGAACTTTTGCACCGGGTACGGACTGAACTAGAACTGATCCAGGTCCGAGACCAGACCGGGACTAGAGCGGGACCAGAGCGGGACCAGAGCGGGACCAGAGCAGGACCAGGGCGGACTCCAAGCTTTGACTCTGAGCCTCCGCAGGGTCCAAGCCTCAGCTTCGAGCTCCGGCCCTGCCGTGGGCTCTGAGCCTCCGGTCTGGTCTCGGTCTTGTCTCTGTCTCAGGCCCGCTCTGGTCCCGCTCTGGTCCCGCTCTGGTCCCAGTCTCAGTAGCGCTCTGGTCCCGGTCTGATCCCGGACCTGGTCCATTTGAACCAAAAGCTCTTAGTTCGGTTCGTTTTCGTTGGTGTGAAAGCGTCAGTTGGATGCTTTGCTCCACCTCGGAACCAGCCGCGGTTCTGGAGCAGCCCGTCCGGACCTGTAGTCCACAGCGCATTCTCACTTTCCCCGCACGGAACCAGCGTGGAGACGATGACACGGAACCGCTCGGACCGCTGGTCTCGGTCTCAGTTCCGCTCTGATCCCGCTCTGGTCTCGGACCTGGATCAGTCCTGGTTCACTCCGTACGCGGTGCAAAAGTTCGGCATCGCAGTCACGGAAGTCACGTAAACGGGAAACGGCCGTTATCCGTTTTTTCCATTCTTCATTTAAACACAAAATCGAAAACTGAAAAAACGAATCATTATCCATTTTTTCATTTTGGTTTTGGAGACAAATAACGAAGAAAACTGTTGTTTTTTCGTTTTCTTATTTTTGGTTTTATATTGAAAAACGAATGATACACGGATTGACTGAGTATATAATTTTTTTTTTCTAATCTAATCTAAAGTGTAAACTTACCTTGTTGACCTTGTTGGGCAGAGGCTGTGCGTGTGCCGTGGGGGTAGGGGTGGTTGGGGTGACGTGGGGGACAGAGGCCGGTGTGCTTTGCTGCTGCTGCTGCTGGGGTGGGGGCGGGGGCTGGCTTGTGGGTTGGCTGGCAGGTTGGCTGGGAGCTCCAGTCACTGGGATGTTGTGGACAGACACGCCGTGGGGAGTGATGTAGTGGATCTGCCCGGGCGTGGTCACATTCACCATGTCATTGGTCTGGACCTCGATCTTGTACCCAGGAGGCAGGAACGTGTTGAAGCCCATGATGAGGTCTGGGTGGCCTTTGAATAGCTGTGACACGCGGTTTATCACTCCGGGGGTGTCGATGCTGTGAGAGAGGATCAGTTCACAAGTGGGTTTTCACACGTGGATTAACCAAACAGAGAAAAATCATGGACCACTCGCATCAAAGCAGCTTGTGAGCAAAAACTAAACATTTTTAAAAAGGACAGTCGTCTTCACACTGCCACTAGTTAGGTTGATTTAAAAGAGCTCTGAGAGCTCTGTGAGAGTGGAGTACTTGAGCCAGTGTGAACTCAACAGTCGCATTGTAATTAAAAGACCTGGTGCTCTCAGAGCGGTTCCACTCTCACTCAAAGGCAGGGCTAATGTGCTGTGAAAGCGGCTGATCTACATAGTCCGCATGACATTAAAAGTGCTTGGAATTGGCACTCGGATCACACATATTTGTATGAATGGGCGCTGCAGAGCGGTTGTTTGACATGTTCATCTGATGAGACAATTTGGATCAACTAAACATCAGTGAGACACATCTCCTGCCTGTCTGCACAGGGGAGCTTGGGTCTGCCTGCACAGGTAAGCCTGGATCTAGCAATCACTCAAAAAACATTCTAGACTTGAAGGCTAAATCGAAGAAAAAAAAAAAAATGTAATTAGCGACACTCCACCAGAGTACATCTTTTATATTGTTAGAAGGTCCGCAGTGTCACCACAGAGAGCATTGTTATGGGGAAGCGTTGCTGTACTACCAGAAATAGAATGGCACATGGAACGTCTCCTAGGGAATTACATTAGAAAATACTTGCCTCTGAGACTTGAATTCTTTCATTATATCCAGGAAATCATTGTAAACTTGTGGTTGATTTCCAAACTGTAATTTTACTTGATCCAGGTAGGAGAGGGCATCTTCAACCTAACAAAGTTTATGAGAGTTATGCATCAAATAAAAATAAAAATAAAAGCAGACTATAAATTTAAAGTAGTTTGTGCAGGTACCTTTAGCCTTTGAAACTGCTGCTGGCCCTGTGTGGAGGCGAGCGCTGGCGCTGGGTGGACGTGCCCTTGGACCACAGTGGGGCCCTGGCTCTGCACTGTCAGGTTGTGTGTGTGGGGCCCGACGTGAGGGGCCACACTCTTCACTCCATGGCCACTACTGCTCTGAGCCATGGTAGGCACCTTTTACACAAGAATCAATTACTTCAGATTTTTAATATGATATAAAAACATAACATACAAAAAATTCAATTCTGTCAAATGGACAAAAGTAGTTTTTTTTGTCCAGTTGACAGAATTGAATTGGATTAAACCAATACAATATGAACCCTAAACTACTGTGGTAAGTAGCTTCACTGACTGTCAGCTATGAATGTGGAAAAATACCTTGCACAGGACATGTGAAGGCTTATGCTTTTGAAGAAGTCTTACTGTTGGGGAATTTTAGAGGTATATTCTCACTACAAGTGTACATAAGGACAAAATACAAACTTTCAAAAACTTCTCGTCTCTGCTTAGACATAAGACAGAAGAAAATACTCAGTGTTCATGGACTAGACTGCTCATTTTATTTTTTATAGATCGTAAACTCAATGTGGGAAGTCTGCTCACCGGAAAAATGCACAATTTTCAAAACTTTTTAAGCAATACAACCACCTGTCGTTGAATAAATACAAGGTAGAAAAGTTTAAAGCAGTACTGTGGAACATTCTAAGTAAATGAATATCCTTGGAGAAAAACAGGTGGCAGATCATTCCCGAGTAAGGTTCTTTAAACTATACTAAAGAATACACTCAAAACAATTAAAAAATTCAACAAACTGCAACTGCATTTTGTAGTTTGCACTATAACTAAAAGCAAACAGTATCTTACAAATACTAAAAGCCCTGAGCATGATACCTGGTAGCCTTGTGGGAGTGAGTACTGGATCCCGCTAGTTGGCTGCATGTCTGCGGGGACCTCTACTGCAGTAGGGGCCGGGGTGAGGGTGCGGTGCTGCAGGCCCTCGGGGAGCCCTTGGGTGGGGGGTCGACGCTGCTGCTGCTGCTGCTGCTGCTGCTGCTGCTGCTGCTGCTGCTGCTGCTGCTGCTGCTGCTGCTGCTGCTGCTGCGAGGAGAACACTGCTTCCTGGTCCACCACACGTTTCTTCATCGTGAGGACATACCTGAGGTGGTTGAGGCACCTGCAGCAAAGGAGGACACAAATATTACTCAACTCAGTATATCATTTTTGACACCCAAATGATCATTTTAAAAGCTCTTTTTAGACCATATTTTCATTTTCAACACATAATAATTTGTAATTATTTTATAACGTGGTGGTATGCTAGTTGTGACTCAAGATGAAACTGTTCAGGAAAGGTCACAATTTACTTTGTTTTTCAGTATCCATACTTACCTAAACAAGTGTAGTATGTGTCTGATTTTTGATACTTTAGACAACCCTAGAACTGACGTACACACATTATTTTTTACCAGCTGAGTTGGTTGACTTAAGGAACAAACCCAAGTGCAACAGTAGCAGTGTTCCCCAGTAGTTTATACATATTGATTTTACAATTGTCTTATATGCTAAGACTGAAAAACCTAATCAAATAAGTGTGACTACTAGACTATAAGAAACAATTGCTGTTGTATTTTGACAATCGTAACTTATCTGGACCGTACACACTCTAAATGGTAAATGGTCACATTTTTCTACAGCGCTCTTCCACCTTCAAGGCACTCAAAGCGCTTTACAACAAGGAACCACTCACCCATTCACACACACACACACACATTCACACACCAGTGTACGCAGACACTGTGGGCAAGGTGGGTTAAGTGTCTTGCCCAAGGACACAATGGCAGCATACATCTGTGGGAGCTGGAATCACATCAGCCAACCTGTGGGTCAGTGGATCTGACCACTCAACCTGTGATGTTTATGTCAAAAGCTGGAATCAAACCGCCAACCTTCAGATCAGTGGGCGAATGCTCTACCAACTGAGCTACTGCTGCCCCACTCTATATCCCAAAAGACCTTTTTATTTTGACAGTGGCATTATTAAATCTAAATATCAAAAGAGAATAAACCATTTCTGATTTTGATCAAGAACAAAACACTTTATTTGTATATATTCTCTAGTTAGAAAAGTCTCAATGTACAATATTAGTCAACTAATCAAAAACATGTATCACTGACTAGTCAACAACTAAAATAATTGGTAGATGCAGCCCTATGTAGTATATACAAACTGTTTGCAGTGCTCCAGAGTCAGCTGTCAGACATGGCCTGATCTTCTGTCTAGGCAGCAGAGTGCATTGTACTTTGAAATTCCATCACACAAATAAAACAGTTTTATTGGGAAAAAAAACAAAACAAAAACATTTAGTTATCCAGACCAGGGCTCTATCTCTCATAGGTGACCATGAGCTCCATGTGTGGTGCAATTAGTTGCACATAAAAAAAATAATAATAATAATTAACAAAAACATTATTATACATGAAATGCCCTAAGTTTTGCATCTAAGGTACAGACACTTGATTGGATGATTTAGTCATGTGACAACAAACTTGTCAGAGCCCACATAATATTTGGATTTTTTTTTTTTATTATTTGAAGAACAAGACTGTGGGACAGAGAGCTATTGGTGATAAACCCTGAACTATACTATAAACTCACATTAGGGTCTGTCTACAAAAACAAGTAGGGTATGTGTTAAACATATCACCATGACAGACTACCTTCACATCTGGCAAGAGACAACGTAATTATTGTTCAAGTATAACCCTATTTGTCAATTATTTTGTGATGTGTATGTTCAGAGTTCACCCTTCTTGCATATATTTATCTTTGAAAAAATATAACTGCTTTCCATATGTAGGTATAGTTATGTTTTACAATGATCTTGTCGCAGCTTGTATTTATATTTGCATCATACACGGCAGAAATGGGGACTTGTATCACTTATGTAATCCTTTGTTGAAGCGGCAGTAGAAGATTCTTCGCACAACACATTTGCTGACGGTCCCTAAGCAGACGTCATTACCGCCGGTCACACACTAGCGCACTCCCCTCTCCGCTGCTCCTCTCCCGCGGCAGGAGCACGGAGACACGGCCAGGCGCGGAGGGAGCACCGAGCACCGTCTATTCGACCCTTTGACGACGGAAACCAGTTGGAGGACGTTTAGTACAGGCGAGAGTCCGTGAAAGGGCTGAATATTGGCGCTGCAGCGGGAGGACTGGGCCGAGGGCAGGTCGCTGGCTGCTCGTAGGCGCTGTCTGTGTCCGCACGTCGCTGCTGTGCGCGGCTCTGGCTCTGCTCTGGCTCATCCCCTCCCCCTCTCTGACAAACACCAGCCTCCACCATAGGCTCTGCCATAGGCTCAACCAGGGCTCAGCGCGACCCTCTGAGCTGCTCATGTCTTCGGCTGTCCGCTCATTGACGCCGGATGGACACTCGGCTATCTCTCCTAAACGTCTTATTTGAACACACATTGAGTTTCCAGCGCGTACCCGGTCATCCCCGTATTCCACACCGTAAACCGGACTGCGCTCAATAGAACATTGCGAGATATTTTTGTGACACCTCTCGAACAAGAAACAAAAACTGCACTTTGTCCAAGATAAAAACGCAACTCCCAAAGCTTCCTCTAATCCAACGACATTCAAGCCACCTGTATAGCTTTAGCACGGGCTCGAAAAGTTTCATCAAGTAGTTAGATCAAGTCCTGAACCAAGTTCCGAGTGAGAGAATGCTAAAGGCTAACTTGTGGAGCTAACTCTACGTCGCGCTGACGTGAAGTTATGCACAATAGTAAAAAACAGTTGCCACTCAAATCACCCTGTCATCTGTGCACATGAACACAGAGCTGAAGAGAGGATGCACCACAACAAGCACATTATGCAGCTGTTGTCGAGAAGTCCGCTGTGTTTAGCTTTAGCTTCAGAGCTAAATCATGGTCAGAGCTCATTGCGTGTTAGCTCACATCTGACTAGCGCGAATCATTTTAACATCCCTCAACCAGTCGCTTCTCCTTTCTCCAATGGTGATGATGATCAAAGCGACCCTCTTGTGCAATAACACATCTCAGCGGGGAACCGTCCACTGTTAGCTTTCCGCTTACCGTATTTGACAAGGTTAGATAGCAGGCAGCTGACTAAATGCTACAACACCCCGACCAGAGGCTAGCTTTGGCTAACAGGCGACCAGGACTCACCTCTCAGCGGGACAGCCACCGCAAACAACCCGACACACCAGTGGACAGAGGCGCAGTGCACCACCTGCGGCTTTCGTGCTCACAAAACTGTGAAAGGATGCAAAGTTTTCCGATAAAAAGGCCAAAAATCCCGTAGCCCGTAGTGGTCCGCCGCTAACAACAGTGGATGTATGAGCGGTGTTCCTGCACACACAGGCGGGGCGGAGCGTCCGGCGGGGCGGGCACGTCTCCGCCCACCCGCCAGCGCCATTGGTCCAACCCAAATGAAAACACACAAGGCAAACCTCCCCGAGAGTTCGCTCAAAGCTTTTCCCAAACTTTTGTCATCCGTTTGCCCAGAGGAGGTAGAGTAGGCAGATTGTATTTATTCTAAAAGATACCAACTATAGGCCTACGCGCTCAAATAGAAACGAAAGACTCAAATAATGACTCAAGCATAAAAAGTATTTGTGTTTTTTTATTTTTTAAGTAAGTATAAGTATATTTTTATAAGTATATTTATATATTTATATGTATATTTTATAAGTTTAAGTATTTTTTAAGTAAGTAAAAGTATAATTTAAGTATTTTTAAGTAGTTCCCTAATAACTAGACCTTATTTGAAGATAAGATGCAACAAACTTGAATATTTCAATCATTTAATTTAGCCAACAAGCCTTTGTCACCTGCAGATTGTGGGAGGAGGAATCTAAACTACCACTAACACTGCTTTTTGGATTTTCTTTCATGTACAAAGCACTAGACCTTGGTATGAGCCTTCTGAATCTACAGTGATCATGTTATGACATTACTGAACAAGAAACAAGATATGTTTAATATAGTTTTATTTTCAGAAAATATATAGTCTTTGAAGTAGTAAAGATGGTTTTATTTGCCTTCATCTGACCAGGGTTTAGAAGGAGCTTACAGATAAAAAGTAAACATTTAAAATATTTCTTTTTCATACATACCGTGATTTCAAATGTGCAATTTGAGAAAGGCACTCAGTAGCACTAGAAAGTATTGCGTCATTTTATATTAGTAATTCAGCAATGAATAAAAATTTAAGTATTCAAAGAGTTATGTAGAAAGTTTCTTCCTTGTCACCACACGACATATTCAGAGGAAGGGCTTAAGAATGACACATACAAAAGCCACTATTGCGCCCACAGCCAAAGATGGAGCTTTTTCTGGTGCTGCAAACAAAAAAGACATGAGTTTGAATAAAACATCAAAGCACATCAGACAGATGGCTGAAATACTGAAATGCATCCAGTGTTACAGATTGAACTACTGTCTAAAAAAAAAAAAAAACTTTAAAAAGCTTATTTACTTTATTTACACTTTTAGCTTTTATAATCTTATAATCAAATATAAAGAGTAATATGTTTGGGTATGGTTTTTAGTTACCAAAGCAAATAATAATAATGAATGATTTTAAAGTGAATTTGAATTATTCATGTTTGTTATTCAAGGCTGACGTAATTCCTACAAAAGTTGGGTAAAAAGCTTGTAACTAGTACTCAGAGTAGTATTTTTCATGCATATTTTTTTACTTTTAAAGTCAGGACTAAACATCATCAGCAAGACTTTGCTAGTCATTTTAAACCTAGTGTTGTCACAACTCGATTTTCATACTGTGTAATAAGACTTAATACTCAATTCAGATTCTAAAACCACAATGATAATTAAAAACTTTCTTTAGACAATAGAATGTGATTTTCAAGATTAAACCATAATTCTTTCTTTTATTTATATTGTTGTACTTATATTTGTGTAATCTGTCAGTCCTGAGCCTCGTTCTCAGCAATCATTCTATTCAGGGAAGGTTCATTTCTGTCCTATGAATGTGTCTTTTTTAGTACTGATGCCTGCTCAAATTAGTGTCTAGTTTCAATACTAGTTTTAGCATCAATTAGTATCTGCCTGGTACTAATCTGCATATTCCCTGAGCTCTGGCCAATTAGCACAGACAATCCAAGACTGTTCTGTATGTTTGTCAGTATAGAGAGGAGCAGAGACAGCCATAGCTTGGGAGAATACAGTACTCAGTAACTTATATGATTTAAAATATAACTAATTACTATTGCAAGTACAAGTTTAAAATCTACTCAAAAAAGTGCCTGTTAGAATAATTGTGTATATGTTATCCCATATTTTCTATGTATTGTTTTTGTGTGAATAATGTTTGTGCTTATAACTATGCAGTGACTTGTCACCCACTCTGCACACCGCTAAAACAATGACTTAGTCAGCACTTTTCTGAGAAAGAGGACGGCTCTCACTTTGCTGGGAAAGAGGGCAGCTCTCAAGGATGGCAGAAAGAAGGGGACGTGCTGGAGGGGACGTGCTGATCCTAAAGATGCTACAACAATGATGCTACACCTTATCGGCCTGATGTTTCTACTGTTTTTTGCTGTTTTCAACCCCCCCCTTAGAGAAACACCCATTGTAACTAGGGACTCCCTTATGACAATAAAAAGAGGAGACACAGGGAGTGCATTCAGAGCGGGTAGAGATTGTAACGGTAAATGCACTCTCTGTCCGCCCTCCTCATGAGAAAACAATATTAATCTCTTGTCTTTCTTCTTACTTTTACAATGTTTAGGTGGGCTTAAACCTGACAGTGCCCCAAAAATTTACTTAATTACAGTAACGTGAGTATTTGTATCAGAATCAAGGACAAGTATGAACACCCCCAAGATTCCCAGAACCCCTGTTTTTCAAAACTCTTACCGTGCGAAGTTGTGGGAGCTGCAGTAGTGGTGGTAGTAGTGGTGGTAGTAGCTGGGGCAGTAGTAGTAGTGGTAGTGGTAGTGGTAGGGGTAGTGGTAGGGGTAGTAGTAGTAGTGGTTACGGGAGCAGTGCTAAGGGTGGTGGGTGGGGCGGGGGTGTGCACGAGGCTGACAGCAGGGGAGGTGATGGTGTAGGAGCTGCTGAATACGTTGTTGACCATGGCAGAGCGGGTGAGCCTGGTGGTGCACAGGTCTGGGCATTTGGCAGAGGGCATAGTGGTGATGCAGAGGTTCACTGTGCACCTCACGTACATCTGCAGGGGGGGAAAAGAAGGAGTTTAAATGGCCCATATTACGCTATTTTCTTATGTTATAATGTTTCCTCATCACAAACAGACCTGGAGTTGTGTTTTGTTTCATTTACACATGTTTAATGCACAAACCCTGCACATTTAGGCTTTGGGACTTCTTCTCTCAAACAGAAAACACATTGTTCCACCTTGTGATGTGGTAATACAGCAAGGGCTCTACTGTGTTTTTAAACTCAATGCAATTTCACTAGAATCATTTGAAGAATTTCAGCCTTACAATTGCCAATCTTTGCTGAACTAAATGAAAAAGGTAGCTGTCAATATGAAAAGTACCACTTTATGACATCACATGGAATAGAGCATTTTGAGCTGTAGACAAACTACTCAACTACTACTACTCAAACAGGTGTGTGTGTTTGTGTGTGAAACAAAACACAACTCCAAATTCAAATGCCCCTGAAAATCTCAAAAGGAAGACCTAAATTAGAATTTTTATTTTTTTTTGAAAGAGGGGGTAAAAATGACTTCTTGATGCTTTCTACCATGTTATCATCACAAACATGCCTCAAGTGGTTTTATATGCCATCCATGCATGTTTGAGTAATCTTGGAATCTCTCCCGGGCACTATTCAAACCTAGCCACGCTGGCGCCCCCTAGTGCCTCCTCTCAATTTCATTTCTCTCCAGCAAATAGGTCAGGAATCAGAATACACTAGATGGTTCACAAAAACCCCGAAGTGCAAGTTTGTGCACCAGCCAATCAGCAAAGAGCCATATATTCAGTGTTGTCAACGATTCCCAAGAATTTAAAGCCGGAAAAAGAGAATGTTTGGTGAATTTCATCAGATTAATATACCAGTTAACCCCGTTAGCGGTGCATTACATATGTCACGACCAAATAGCAGCGATTGATTAAATGATAAAAAGTACCCGCCTACCATCAAGCAAACGAAATCTAACAGTGTGAGGTCAGACAGTTTTTTAGAAAGTGAATCAGGCTAATTCAAACCCTCCTGTAGAAAAATTTTAGTTTTTTTTGTTTCCTACTGCTTTATTGTGTGACGATGCTACTAGGTTGTGGTAGTGGATTTGTTTTGGATTAATAATGTAAAAGTCTAATGTCTTTAAAACATCATATTCATATCTAATAGAATGGGATGTTCTACTTACTACGGAGCCTTTG